ATTTTTAAACTGGGCAGCGTGTTAGTGAAGGTAATCCATTTAGTAGGAGATCATAGAGGGAGAAGCATGGAGCTGTAATGTACTCCCTCTCATACGATGATGTGAGTAGGTGGATGAGTAATTAATGTATAGGGACTTTAGCAGATACCTAAAATATTTGTTACTAAACCTAGCTACTTGGAAGTTATTTTTCTTTAAAATTTTCCTTGCTGTTTTGAGTATAAGAAAGAGCAATCATGCAAAAATTGCTGATATTACAATTTATAACACTGTTTTCATTCTTTCTAAAGCTACTGACTTCTGCATCTGTTGCAACCCTTGGAAGGCTAGTCTAAACACTGTTTTGGTAGAATACATACCTGCTTTTTACTCTGTATGCTACGTGCTAACTGAGAAAGTAAAGAAAATGCATGCACGTACTGTGATTTACAGTCAGTATGTACCTTTGACCCATTGTAAAACCAGCAAAAACCAAACCTGCAAGCACTGATTTGATGTACTGTTGTGTAAATGACCTTTTTTCTTTTCCCACTGAAACAATTACTTAAATGGGAAGGGTTCATTTAAGTCCTGCATCAGAAGTAGAAGGAGGGTGCACTATCTCATTAAGGCAGATAGTTTCCTTTTGTCATAATTACAAATGCATTAAAATAACATTATTATAAGACTGTTTAGGTCTAGCTCTTCAACTTTTGATTCAGAATGTCAAATGCAATTACGAAATTCAAACTTCAAGTCAGAGACTTAAGCAGTCATTTAATCTAAATTCATTTCTATTTATGTGTAGAACAAAAATTGTTTTAATAGGTACTCCTGACATGCACTGAATGATTAAGATAACACGAACACTAGGCTTTCTGTGAATTGTTCAGAGTATGTGAAAAATACATCCAATGTTAGTGCATAGAAATTTAGAGTTGCAAAGCTTAGGGGTTTTCCCCTTATTTCATTAGAATGTGGTATTTTTGTAGAGGTGATCTGTTGGGTAAGGACATTTTAACAGAAGGGGACTGTCAACTGAAGTCAGGATCCCAAGATTGACAGTAACATTGATGATAATAAGGGTGAAGGTCTGAAGTGAAGGTTGAGGCCTCTCGACTTGCTTCATGTGATGCTCACTGGCTGGCTATTGATGGCTGTTGTATTTTCCCTTTCACTGTGGATAACAGGATTGGCTAGAGGGGTGAAGCACTTGACTAAAACAAGGCAATACTCCATTTACTGTGGTTTGTGCCTCATTTGAGGGAGTTGTCTGTGTTTTACCTCAGACCTGGTTCTCTTTGTGAAGTCAGAGTAGAATGGGTGTGGGACTCCTCAAAGTGGCCCTGCCAAGAAGTTGACACCTTAATTTAAAATGTGAATCTTATTGCTGCTTAAAAATATCAGCCTGAGGAAGAAGATGGGCAATTCAGTTTACCATCATTAGCTGAACTGGCACACAGTTCAGCTCCACTTGGTGTAGTGGCTGTCACACTCCCTTGTCCACTCTGACCTGCAAAAGGGATTGTTTGCACCCTCCTCTTTCTTTGAGTATCCAGTTTGTGTTTGCTAGAGCACACGGTGATGACCCTGAACTTCTTTGGCTAAGCAAGAGTGCACCAGCTGTGTAATTAGAGGCTACTTAATGGCTGCAGATTACAGCCTGCAGAGAGAAATTAGTAAGAGAAGCAGATTTCTTATTTATCTTTTGTCAGAAAATATAGGGATCAACCATTGTTGCCCAAATAGACTAATCTATCTCTTCCCTGCATGGCTGCGAGGAAGATGAGTATGGGGTGGGATGGCAAGAGGAAGAGAAATTCCTCTCCACAGTACTTCTTTCTCACTCCCAGCCTGGTGCCAACCCTTCCCATCTTGCAGACTGCTTTGGTCCCAGAGGGAGGAGTAGGAGAGGTTGTTCAGGTGGCATGGAATGGAGTGGGGACGGAGAGAGGGAGACTGCTGGTGAGCTCTAAGGGTGCAGGTGACTCATACTACAGTGGAGTGGAGGAGAGGAAGACCCTCTCCCAGGGATGGATGCTGGGGGAGGACCTCCTCCCTGAATCCGCAAACAGAACTGCTTCTGATCCTTTCTTGTATAACCCAGAAGCCTTCCATCCTCTTCCTTCCTGGCCTCCTCCCACAGATGCCCTAACTTACCTTTCCCTTGACTGAAGCTCCTTTGATCTTGCCAGACCCCATGACCCTCTTTGAGCCCTTCGTCCTGCTACTGCAGGGTTGAGTCTCCACATCAGATTATAAGACAAGCGGACACACTGATCTCAGCTACCGTTCCACCTAGGCTGATTTCCCCTGGGTATTTGTGATGCAGGAGGCACCAGAGAGGTTTCTTTCCCTCATCACTGTTCACATCTGGGCAGAAAATGTAGGAGATAGCTCTCCAAGGACCCTGTGGAAGAGGGATGCCCCTCCATGAACCACAACAGCCCAGGCAGATGACACAATTAAGGTTGGGTGTGGAAATAATTAGAAGTTTTAGCTTGTAGAAGCCCATAGCTTTGTGTGGGGTGGCCTCCCACACTGCTGAAACCCTGGGCATAGGTCACACCACCTCCTTCAGGTTGTCTTGAACTTGGAGAAGGGTTAAGGTGCTTGTCTGGATGAGGGAGTGGGGAGTGCCCTCTCTGACCTTGATCAAGGTAAGCATTGCTGGTAAAATATTAGGGATGAATAAAATCTCTATCCAAGGGGGAAATGGCACTTGTGTTTTATGGTCAAACATGGGAATAACTGAGGGGAAAAAAAATGAATGAACCATGTAGTTCATATTGCGAATGTGATATGTAATTTATATTGCAATGGAATATGATAGCGTAGTCAAAGGTCTGCAGACTTTATGGTTTGATATAAAGCATTAAACTTGCTGTAAATCTTGGTATAAAAATTACTGCACAGAGAAGTGGGTGCTGAAAATGAATTGTGAAAATACACATTTAGAGAAAAATTGTTTTTCATAATAACCAGACTGCATAGTTTCTAATGCAGTTAATCCTTTCCAGTGTTTGTGTCTAACAAAAACAATTCTAAAATTCTGAGCAGAAACATGGAGATTTTACTTAATGCCTTGTATAATGACTGACTGATTGTGATGATGAAATATAGAGGATTTTGTCGCTAGGAGTCTGCAACAACAAGATAGGGCAATAATCTTCTATTTCTGTGCTTGAGGACATGTGGTTTGGATTTTGATTTTTTTAAATTTTTTTTTAATGACTCATGCAAAGGTGCATTATTCATTAATAGGTTAGGAAGAACTGATGATGTTAGGGTCTTTTAACCAATGGCAGGATTCTATTCTGTAATTTTTAGTATTTTCCCAAGTAAGACTCTTCATTCAGGCATGACTCAAAAGTAATTTAATAGCAAAGATATTGATCAATGCTCTAAATCCATCTGTAGGAATTTTCATGCCCAAGAGACTAGATGATTTATTTTCTGGTACAGGTTTAAAAATAAGTTTTCTTATCAAGCATAAAGTAATCAGGAATACGTCTGGAGCTAAATCAGTTCTTAATGTTGCCTTTTTTTTTTTTTTTTTTAGTTTGCTTGTTTGCTTTTTATTTAAGCATTCATGATTAGTAGCTTTTTGTCATCAAGTGTATGCAGCAAGGCAGTAGAAATAGTGATGCTTTACAATAATGAAACTAATTCAGGAAGCTCACAATCAGCATAAAAATACACCAATGGAAAACAGCAATGCCAATACAGGATTTATTTGTTGCTGGTATTGGTAAGAGAATTTGAAAACAGAAGCAGCAGCATTGTCCAGAACAGTACCAACAACAAAAGTTCATTACTCTGAACCTCTGGCACATAGCTAATTCAAAACAGCACTGTCATGTGAAGAAACTACATATAGTGGCAGCATTTGAAACTTAGAGATGAAAAATGTATGTAGGCTTGCAGTAACCTGTAAATAACCATGCTGGGTCTGTGAACTGCTGACTTGGCTGGCAGGATCTTTGGTGGGTGTTTTTCTCCATCCATTATGTTGTTTCTACATCTGTTATAATTTTAGAGATACTGAAAACTGTGAGGTTGAGTAGTTAACTATCCAAAGGACTAGGGAGATAGTATGTTACATGTTTTCTGCAGAAATCTGGTAAAAGTGATTGAAACACTTTTTTGCCAAGTAAATTTCCATGTACTGAAATTTACTTTTCATTCACAAGACAAGATGATACAAATTTTCTGCTTGTCATGGTTTGAGCTCAGAGGGGAACTGAGCATGACACAGCTACTCACTCCCCCACCCCCACCCCCCCCCCCCCCCCCCAGTGCTAAGAAAAAGAAAATAAGTAAAGGCTTTGGACTCAAGATAGGACAGGGAGGGATGAATCACCCATTATGGTCACGGGCAAAACACAGACTCGCTAGAAGAAGAAAAAAAGAATGTAAATTTATTACAGACATTAATAACAACAACCCTTAACAGACAGAGTAGGACAGTGAGAAGCATTACCACATCTTGAAAACACCTTCCTTCCACCTTTCCCTTCTTCCCGGGCTCAGTTCTGCTCTCCATACCTCTACCTCCTCCCCCCAGCGGCGCAGGGGCAGGGAATGGGGGGGTGCAGTCAGTGCTGCCGCTTCTTCCATCTTTGGAGGGGGGGAACTTCTGGAACTTCTTCCCTCTGCTTCATCATGGAAAGTTCTCCACAAACCTTTCTCCAACTTGAGTCCCTCCCACTCCACCACAGGCAGGTCCAACTTGGAGCCAGGGGAGCTTCAAGAAGCTTCTCGCAGGGGGCCACCGCTGTACCCCCCTCCCCTGCTACCCAAAACCCCCACCACTCACTCAAACCCAGGACACTGCTACATGTCCTACTATCCCAAATTTTGCAATCCATCTCTTTACTCTTTATTTTTAACTGTGTAAGTGTTATCCAGAGTTTGTGAGCATGATGGTTGATTGATGACCTAAGGCTTTAAACAGTAGGTGTGGTTGGTCAAGTTTGTTAATGTGCATGTGTCTGGCTTTTTTTGTTTTCCCCATATAGACAGCTACGGATAGTGACAGGGGAATGGTTTTTTGAAGAAAGAGCAAAGCGCTTCAAACAATCACATCTTCTTGGTACTGATGTTGTCAGACAGTCTATCCTACGCAAATTCCCAGGTAAGGGACCACAAGAGAGAGTTTTGCTTGTACTTAATACATTCAAACCTTGTTTCTAGAGTGTTTGACTTGTATTTTATTCTTCACAGTTGAAGGTGTAAGTATAATCAGTATTTTAATCTTCATTCAGTATTTGGATGTTACTGTACAGTAATTTATGAATGATTAATGTATAGGAAAGGTAAAGTATAGATGAATGAAGAAGTATCTCTGTGGAGATAGAGCTGCTTAAAATCTCACTGTCCAAACAGGTGGACAGTATTATTCAGCTGCAAAACCAGCAGCAGATGCTCTAAAAGTTAATTGGCTGTAGGCAGAGATCTAAATCCAATCTTTTTTCTCTTTTATTTGTGATGGTGATGTGTAAAAAGTATTCAATTTTTCCTTTTCAACTCTGAGTAAGATAGCTAAATGTTAACTCCTGTGCTGTATGTTGGAGCATGAGTTGCGTAAGTTCTCATTTGACTTTCCTTTTGTCCAGACATCTCCAATAAATTGCAGCTGCACTTTTTAGATACAGTAAACAGTCTGGCTGTCTTGACCAAGCACAGCAAGTGTACCAAGACTGTGAGCTGCTGTGGTACCTTGAATGGTACCCCAGGACCACTGGTTTAAGAAACAGGAGTTTTTCCTGCATGGTGATGCTTCTGCCTTCACTTAACTGCCTCACTGCACACAGAAGCTGTTATTTAGGTAGTCTGTTTTCAGATGTAACGTTTATCACTGTCAATAGGAAGGTGATGGGTATGAGTGGTTTGTAGGGAGAGGGACTGGTTTACTGCCATTGGAAAAATGCCTGGTGCAAATATCCTGCTTGGCAAAATGCTGATTTTGCCCGTATCACTGTACTTCAAAAGCTGTCAGACTGGCAAATATCTAACATTCTTTGTGTTTTGATATTATGCAGCCTGGTAAATTGAGTATTTTTTGACTTGTTACTTTATTGCATAGATATATTAAAAAAAATATATTTAAGCCATTCTTCCTACACCTTGTGCCTAGTTGAACAAATGTTTTAATTAGGAAAACACTCTTTTACTTAACACAGAAAATACTGTACATTTCAAAATTATATTTCAGGTCCTTTGGTTATTAAATGTTGTTAATGATAAATTCAGAAGCGTAGTTCAAGACAAGAGTTGTTAATGAGAAACATCTCAAGCTTCTTAAAGTTTTATTTTCTTTTATTAAAAGGAAAAGCCAAAGAACCCCCCAAGTTTTTTTTTGTTATATTTTATCATATGCTTTTATTTCATACTGAAAAATGGAAAAATCTATTTTTGTAGGTTGTCTGACACGTGCTGACTTTTTTATGCAAACATTCACACTTTTTTTTTCTTTCCCCCTCCACTGAAGATACGGTTTCCAGTAAGGATGAAGGAAGAGCCTTTAAAGAAGAGAATGAAGAAAAAAAGCCAGATGTACCTGTTTCTTCCACAAATGGGCATAAATCAATCTTCAGTGGACCTAGAAAGTTAGGGTAAAGCCTTTTCTTTTGGAAGCTGATGAATCGAAATAACAGCTGTATATGGTTGGATGGATATTCTTTTGAGTTTCTGCAGCATTCCACATCAGCCTCAAACTTCCCAGATTTAGAAACTGCCTCTGTTTAAAAGCATACTTATTATAATTAGACTGCTGTTTCCTAGGAAATTCAGCAGTAATTACTCTTCAGCTATAAAGGTAGCAGAAAAAAGGCAATTTTACTCCTGGATTTTTCTTGTTTATACTTGGAATTAACAGTGTCCCTAAAGGCAGGTTTGCTGAAGAAGCAAATGCGAAAAATACTGCATGGAGGGCCTGTTATCTATGTATACTGGTCAGTTCTGCTCACATGTCAAGTTTTCCTTTAGGTTCTAGCTGTAGCAAATGCAGTCTGACAGTCAAGTAGTGCCCCTCTTTTGTGCGTGTGTACAGTGAATCACCAGATATGTTACTGATCATCTTACAGTCTCGGTGTGTGTAACCCCAGTTTGGCTATGCCCTTAGAGGAGCGCTCGCTTGCCCTCAGGGGACATGGACAGAGGCATTGGATATATGGTTGCAATGAGTGGTGTCTGGACATAACTTGAGGCTACTGGGTGAATGGGGAGAAAAATTGGATGAATGTTCATATCAGGTCTGGAGTTCCATGGGCTGGTATTTGGAAAACTTTGTTTCTGTTGGAGGAAAGAACACATTTTATTATGGGTCCTAAATACAGGGTAGACAGGTAGCTTTCTACAGGTTTTTTACTTCTGAGGAGAGCCGAGTATGGAATTATTTGTTCCAGTGACTCCACAAATTAACATGAGTGATTTATCTCTCTAATATTGGGGAAAAGAGCATCAGAATGCCTCTGGCTTTTCAAATTAAGGTAAAGAAAGAACGAGCTTAGGGAATCTGCTATAATAGGACCTAGATGTTGCTCTAAATCATGCTAATTGATAACTATGGTAGGAAGTGCATTAATGTTTGCTTTTCTAATCCTCTTTTCATTTAAATCCTATGTGCAAATCTGTTAGTCATATTCCCCTATGAGAAACAACTATTTTTTTATAATTGTCTGTTGTTTATTTTAGTGCTGTTCAGCCTTTTTCAGTTTGTGGCCTGAAATGTTTTCTGGCAGTGGCATGCCCCATAAAGAAAATTTAATCCTACAAGAATTAGGCTTGCTTTTCCTGGTATATTTTGTGGCCTCTCTTAGAAGCATTTTATTATTCCTCCTCTTCCTTCCTTGCTCCTCCTTCCTCCCTCAGGTTCCACATTCATATATCTCATGAATGGATTTATTTTAGCAAAGCTATTTTGGGTCCGACTCCTACTGACAGTGTCATGGGTTAACTTAACAGTCTATTGCTGTTTGTAAGTCTATGAAGAATACTACTGCTTTTCAAAACTTTATTTAATTTCTGTCTTATTAGGCCACATGTTGCATTGTAAAGGGATGATACCATGTTTTTGGAAAATAGCTTGTTTGGAGCATTAAGACATATAATTGTAGAAATTGCAAAAAAATCTTTAAAAGAAAATACATATAGTGTAATTTGTTAGGGGAAAATACACATACTTAGTAAAAAATACTTGGCTGTGTATAAGCTGTAAAAAAAAAAAAATAAACTAGGAATTTTCACAAAAGGCACTTCTGAGTCAAAGCTTGAAGTGACCATGTTGAGTAGGAGGGATGTTTTAATGCTTTTTGTCTTGAAAAGCAGTTCATAGCAGATATGACGCTTTTTTTTTTTGTTCATATGAATCAGTTTGAATACCAGATTTGGTGCTGTATTGACCCTTATATTCAGAGCTATCCATAGGTCACACAGATGAAACTAATAGAATGCACACATCACAGTATTTCGTCAGGCTGCTGTTTCCTGGGAAAAATCTTACTACTTCTAAATCTTTTGTTTCCTGTTTTCATCAGGAAAGTAATTAGAGCAGTTGCCAAAGGAGAAATTACAAATGCAAAAGATGAAGGTGAAAGGAACACAGGCTCAGAAGCTGAAACCCGAAGTCTGCGCAGTGGCAAGTCAACGCCTTGCTCTGAGAGGTGAGCAACAGAAATCTAGTCCAGCTCATGCCAGGATTCACATAGGGGTGTATGCCAGTCCTCTGTGTTGCACTGTGTCTTTGAATGCTCAACATTAATACTATCTGAGAAGCAGAGCTTATGTTAAAAAAAAAAATTATCCAAAGAAAAGAAGAAAGCCTAAAAATTATCTTCACCCATCTTCCTTTTCTCTCCTTGTGTTCAGCTGGTAATTGTTGTCAGTATGTTGTTTTTTGTTTTCTGGCTTTTTAATTGATGATCTGTGTTCATGTTACAGAAATGAGGCCCTTTTTTCCAAGGCTTTTCTTCGGGAATGACGTGTTAATTGATTGTAAATTATATTTTCTTCTTCAACGTCTCTGTTTGCCCTTCTCTTTCCATGATTATTGTCCCAGTTATTTCTAATAGAATTCCATTTATCATTCTTCTGAGTTTGAGATCTCTGTTATTGCCTCTGATAACATTATAAAATGCCAGATGCAACAGTTCCTCTCATATCCCACCTTCAAAATAAAGCTCAAGTTTTTCTTGTTCAGTTGGATAGTCTATACTGGATGTAGACCCACATTCTTTGCTCAGGTGCACACACCTAGAAATTTTACAATCTGGATTGGAAATTAAGAATAATTTGCTGTAAGATTGAACAGAAAATTCTAGCTCCAGAATGGTGTTCCTGGGAGAGTCCAAATAGGTATACAGGATATCGGGTAAAAGGAACATCATGAAGTTTAATTCACTTACTGATGAGCTGTCTTGTTTAATCAAGAACTTGCTTCCCTTTATCTACAATTCAAAAGCCTAATTGCTGGATGTTCTGCAGCATGCCTAAAGTTGATGGTGGTGATCTTGAAAGTTGAAAATTGGCCTTTTTTCACTACAGCACTTACTAGACAAATCAGCTTTAAAGCTAGTTTTCTTCTTTAATCAACACACGGTCACTAGAGTTTTTTTCACTAAGCTAATTAGGCCTTCTGTATCTAACCAGATTCATACCTGACTTTTATGAGACCAGACATAGTATTTTTGCTGGTTTTATGTATTTGTTTTGATTTTCATTGAATAGAAATGAGTGAGGGGTCTAATAGTCAAAACCTCAGGAATTTGATAGTCTGTGCTGCTTAACACTAAGGTTATGTAATATTAAGTAACTTTCTCTAAGAGTTTACCAGAATAAAGACAAAGGGATGCTTGTGAGATATCTGTGCAGCTGTTTTCATGTGCCAGACTGCAACAAAGTTATCATGCAGTTAACCATAAATTAAGCAAAATAATTTTGTTTGGGGTAGTAGAATTCAGCACCTGATAAGCTCTGTATACAGACTGAGAAGGCTAAATAGAGAGAAGTAGTCTATAAAAGTAGCCTTTATGTTTGATTGCCTTGCTTGACTTCCACATAAAGCAACAATTTCTAGCTTTCTTCCAGAGCCACGGTGGGGGATTCACTAAATTAGGGGTATTGAGTCATTGTGGCAACTTTCTTCTCTACCTGTCTTCTCATCATCACCTGACCAAATCGGTGTCCTGTGTCAAAGTATGTAGTAACCCAGCTGTGTTGCCATGAGATGCTTTAGGTGGGGGGGTTGAATTATTTTACTGTCTATGGAAGATATGGCACTTTCTAAATATTGGTTTGTGAAAGGATTGAGGAGCAGCTTATATTTCTTAGTTAGAGGCATGAACATTCCAGTCTTGTACATGCGTGGTTAAATATTTAATTAGGTGTCTGAGGATTCTTGCTGTATTTCATCTATTGTTAATTTATATAACTGAGTAGTAATTAATAAAAATAATAGCAAAGCTTCCCAGATTATCCTCCATAACTGTTTTGAGTTTCAAATTAAAATAATATAACAACATCCTATGACACTGTAGCTGTCCTAGATTTTTCTGCATATTGCCTTCATCTTTTTAGTTGTGTTGTCAGAGTGGTAGTATTTCACCTACCAGCAGGGAAGCCAAGAGAGAATTTTTATTATTTCTAAACATTTCTGTTTAAGAGAAAGTGTACCGGACTGGGAACAGGGACTCCCAGGCCATGAGTTCATCTCTTCAGCTGGCTTATTTCTACTCCAGCAAAAATGTTTACTGATTTTGCAGCTGAATGAACTGGGAGGCTGCATCAGGATACTTCTAGGAAAAATAGTATAGGAATTTCAGGCTCATCTATGCAGGCACACTACCCTGTCATACTGAGGTCTTGTCTACCACATGGAAATGCCTGGCATAGTCACCTTATAACTACATTTTTCTTTTGTTGTCTAATTTATATGTATAAAATGTGTTCAATGTCTCTCTAATAGCAGACTGAAATAAGGTCTGTGTAAGCACGTTTGATTGTGCAAGTGCTCAGCCTATGATTCCTGCAGAACTTGTAATACTGTTTTATTACTTATTTTTTTTTACTATTACTTCTGAACAGTTCTCTTGATTTGCATTAGTTTACACAGTGAAGCAAAAAAAATCTGTAACAATAATTTTTGTGATACAAAGTTACAACAATCCATCAAAAGTGACGTGACATTCAATAAAACTCAGGTTTTCAATGTTTTGGCTAGTTTCCATACACTAGCAGGTTTGGAAATTAAGGTGTGTGCATCTAACTGCAGCAGCTTTGGTAAAATACTGATGACAGCCAGTAACCTTGATTTTTCTGACTTTGCAGCATCAAAGATGCATCTTTATGTAAAAAGCTAGGACTAAAGTTCAACCAAAGCACATTTGGTAGGATTTGTTGATCACTAGCTCATCAAATTAGAAAGTAGCAGTGCATGTATGTGAAGTGCACATACAAAAGAGCATGTTTATTATGCATTCTCCACTGTTGTCAATATATGGAATTGGATAGTACTTGTTAAAAAGGTTACCATATGCTCACTAAAAGACAAAAACATGGTTCCCCAATATTTGTGGACAGTCCTGGTTTTCCTTTGTACTCCTTGTTTTCAGTAACTCCATGGATGTGGATTCAGAGGCTGTGCTCACTGCTTAATGTAGTGGTGAGACAGGAGCTTTTGTGTTCCAGAGTACTTTTTCTCAGTTCAACAGTAGTTCTAATAAAAATTTCCATTGTAGTAGAGAAAATTTTTATGGCAGTTACTCTAAACATGATATGACAGCCTAAACCAAGTGAAGATGAAATTCAGCTGTTGCCCAGCACAATGAAGAAGCCTGCAAATCTGAAACACATTAAGCAAGTCTCTTTTGGCTGAAAATACACTGGAAGTTCCAAAAATTTTCTCCATCAAATTTGCACTACTGTTTATCTCTGACACTAGTATTTTCCATATGAAAAGGGTGTAATTCCTTCATCATTTCCTCTTTACCACTATTTTTTTTTTTTATTTAAATAGTAAGTATGAATGTATGCAGAACTATTACTATCCTGCAAGACTTCTTGAGATTTCTCTGAATTGCGAAGAAAAATGCAAAAGTTTGAACTGGTGTTTGTGTAGAAAGAAGAGTAGATCAGCTAAGAACTTGTATTTTTACTGTAAATAAAATTTCAAATGAAAATAAAACTTTAATTGGAAATGCATTGAAATACATTTTAAAATAATTTTAATTGTTTCGAAAGGTCAGAAAAGTGCAACAATTTATCCTCTCCAACCCTCAATGCTCACATGGACTAATCAGTATTTTCTAATAGAAAGTATCCCATGGGAAAATTTCTGCCTGTTGTGGTATTAGACAGCAATTGGGTTCTGCTATGCTGATCACAGATGGTTTTTTGTCACAAGAAACCTGGCAGAAAGACTTGTCCAACTTTCCTTCCTTTCTGAGCTTTTTGAAAGAATTGACCAGTTTGGGTCAAGAGTCATTATTGCAATATCGATAGAACAGTGAACAAGTTGTTGTGAGAGGATGGAGAGCAGGATAGCCAAAAGTTTTAGACTTTCCGGAGATAGTGCTGGCATTAACATTGGCTGCAGAAGTGGCCAGAACTGTCATGTCGTTGGAGTTTTCCTTTAAACCAAGGAGTAGCCTGCTAGGAAGTGTTACACGAGTCGTTGCATCTGCTGTTGAGATGCGAATGAGTGCAATGTGGACATGGATGGGTGCAGCTTCTGTGGCCTGGACAAGAGCTCTTGGACATTCAGGACTATTCGCGGTTCTGGGAGAAGTGCTGAAAACACCTGTATTACTTGGATGTATAAAGTAATTGTAATTCACCTTTGCCTGTGTTTTTTCTCTCCAGGTGACCATTTCCCTGCAGTGAGCGGATCACAGTTCATCCAGGCCAACGTTACTCTAGTAAACTGTTACCAGTGCAGTGGTTTGCTAAATGGGCTGCCTTGGTCTGCTCAGAGCAAGTAATGCTTTAATACTCTTCTCTCCATCCCAGAGGGAGCACTCTTTCGCTGAACAGCAGTGATGCAGAGGCCGCTGCAGGCCATCTGAAAGGGGCCACGGGTCCTGTGAGCCGAGGCAATGTTTCCATACCTTCCCTCCCGCGGTCTCCGGCGCTCAGCGTGCGCAGCATGACTGCCGATTACAGCAGGGTGAGCACAGTGACGGAGAGCTGACACCAAACACGATGACTTGGCTGGTATCTGCCCTGTTTGATCAATTTGTAGCCCAGAAAGGACAAGCCGGACAGAGAAGATTTTGTTTCTTCCTTAATTCAGCTGGGACCAGTGAAGACGTTTACTAGAACAGAATTTGTCATGCCCTATCAGCGATGTGGGGTTTGGTTTGGCAGACATTTTTCTTTTGTCTAAAAACTGCTGATAATGCCCAGCATTACATAATGAGTTACAGATTCTGAACTGTGAAGCACAAGGGATGGTAGTAAGCATTTTTGGCACTTCAGGGCCTTGAGTAAGTGTTGTGAACGAAGGATGTGATTCAAGCATGCAGGGTCCTGCATGATCCCACTGACTTCTGACGGAAACTTTGCAAGCTCAGCACTTGCAGAAATTCAGGTCATACTGATTTTAGGTTTTTCTGGATTTGGACACTAAGCTCTGCATAAATTATGGCATAACACAAAATGGATGCTAGATGCTATATCAAAATGAAAGATGAGATTCTTCTTGCCTGCTGTTAGGCCTCTTGGGATGTAGGCAGCCACATCTGAGCTGGCCTTGACTGTTTTGTAATAAGCACAAGGTTGTGGTTTATCTAGCCACAAGCAGACACGCTTTGTTCCCAGACAGCCTGCCTGTTTGTCAAGCATCTCCTCCTGGCTGTGCACCGAGAAGCCCATCCTGAATTCGTTTCAGTCACTCCTCTTAAGAAATCAGAATTGTGCTAGCAGGTTATTCTAAGTTGCCATGACTTAAGTGTACAAAGAAACCAAAATTTATTGTCAGAAGTATTGCTTTTTGCCATTAATGTTTGGAAAAAAGTAGATGAGCATTTTTGATCAGAACCCTATTGAATGTGTCATTTTTTTTTTCTAACTTCCAAATACTTGGTCTAATATATTGTCTTTCCTAATAAAAAATGAGTTAGTATATATGAAGAGCAGTCTCAGGAGTTGTAAATAAATTAATAGTTGTTTTATTTATATTGTTGTTGACACACAGACTGACTTGATTTCAGGTTCATTAGATTTGTTTGAAAAAGGCCAATCCATTTAATTTAGGTGGAGTTATGTTGTTAGCTATTCTTTTACAGGAAGGCAAAAAGTCGTAATGATATCAAGCATATTGGCTTTATTTAAGGGGTTATACTGTCATAATTTAATTAGTTCAAGTCTGTTTGGTTTTGCTCTGACTGAAATAATTATGCTGATATAAAAACAGTAGGTTTTATCTTTCTTTTTATTTTTTTTTTTCAATTTCCAAGCTAAGTGGACTTTTAATAGATTTGAGTGTTTCACTTCCCTACTGTCATTCCTGATGCATTGCTCTGATTCTTCAGTTGCAAACTCAGAATGTATGCATGAATCACATTTTTGTGCAGATTTTATGCATGATCTGTGCTAAGCAAAGCAGATTAAATTGTAATCTAAATATATTCAGTAATAGACTGGATGCTAAAGTAGCTTTGGAGTTCTGGGAGCTAACAGAAATGACGATTTTGTAGACTGCTAGTGAATTAAGCTCACTTTTTGTATTTATGAGATGTGCATTTTTCTTATTCGGCAGGTCACTGGCTTAGAAAATAGCATGATTATTCCAGCAAGTGAAAGTGTACCTGAAGATTTAATAAAGAAGCACTCTAGGAAAGCATCTGGAACACCTTCTATTGCGGTTTCTAGGGTATCTTTGTCATCAGGCAAGTATTAAGTCATCCTTCTTTCTGCCAGCCTTTATTATCAGAGGATTATTCCTATTCTTGTGACTATGCTCCTTTTGTATTTAAAGTACATTGAAAGATCAGATATAAGTTTCATAAATGTGTTCATATTTATTCTGAAAATTCTTCCCTTTTACTAACCAAGTTTATACCATTTCACAAGTTTTTCATTTGAAAAAATGGTAATCCTAACCCCAGTAATGTTGGCACAATGATAGTATTAGGTAAATCACATGCTCTTAGAGTTGTAACAAGATTTCATTCCTAATTGCACATTGTTAAACCATTCTCTGTGTGGTCAATAAAATACTACCTATCTGCAATCTGTTTAAAATACTATTGTGCTGCTGCCATTACATTTCACACCCACTTTGCCCAGAAGAAAATTTGGGAAACAATGAGCTGTCAGAACAAGTCCCTTACAGACTTCATGTCACTTCATTTTCATACATGATGCACTGAACCAGTCGATTCTTCTGCAATTTACCTCATTTCACTGGGGGCTGTTAGGTAAATGAAGCTTGCACAGGAAGGTGCTGTCAGAGCCCCTCTGCAAGAGTGGGTGGAGATCCTCCTTCTCCTGTCTGAAACAGGAGGCAGGAGCACCCTGCACACTCCTGCTTCTCCCAGGTACTCGGTCAGCTTCTTACAGGGCTAACAGAGCACGCTCAGATTTACAGGTTTCTCTCTGAAATGCAGCAGGGCTTCGCTTTTATTTCAGCTGAATTTAGCCCAAAGCAGAAACTTAGTGGTGTATCCCACAGAGCTAGTCAAAGGAGATATAACATTCTTCACCTTAAGTTTTTCCAACTTGAAAGCATCAGAGTTTCTTTGAGAATATTGCACAATGTGACTCCAGGCAGAGGTGATACAGACTGCTGCTACTTGATGAAGTGAAAATTCTCCTGTTTCTGCTACCTTATAAAATAAAGGTTTTCCTAGTGGAAAAGAACTGGCCTCATGTTACCAAAGCAGCTGGATACAGAGCAAAATTGCAGGCAACCTGGGAATGGGCCTCAGACTCTTCATTGTCTCCTTGTTGGAGGATCATAAAGTACATTAAGCTCAGGAGAGTGACCTTTCCTGTCACATCATCTATAGCCCAGGTAGAAACTTTCCAGGTTCCTACCTGCAGGATTCTTAAAGTATTGTTCCTCTTCTTTTGTTCTCAACTTATTGAACAGTCACACAAAAGATTGATATGGGGAGGACTAAGAAAATCTCCAAGACATCTAATATGCCTATAGAGTGGATGAGAGACCTGTAGGACTGAAAAACTTGTGCAGGTCTCAAGACTTGTTTGCTTCCTCCTCCTTTCTGTACAGGGAACACCAGTAAAGACAGGAGTACTTCCTATGTCCATCTATATCCCCAGCTGCTTAGTTCTGAAGCAGATGATGGAGAAAGTTTAGTGGTGTTGGAACATGTGATAATCACTGTGAACACTTGGACCACAAGTTTTGCAATATTCTAGGCTGATAGGCCTACCAGAGAAAGTCAAAAGCTTGATCTATAGTATCTTCCACAGGAGACAATTACAGCAAATAAATAAGGCAAAGGAAAAAAGTATTGGCCAGAAGGCTGAACAGCATCAGAAAGCATATTTTTCCATTTATCATATTGACATTCAGTTGTCATAGAGTTTGTGACAGAATCAGAAAATATTGTTTTGAGGCTTTTTTTTCCTGAAAAACAGCGGGGTGTGAGACAACAGTTATTAAACTGTGGAAGATGAAACTGAATATTTTTGTAGCAAACATTTTAATTGTTTTTATTTTCCAGATCGTAGCCGATCTGAGATAGATTTGAGTGAATCTTTCTCTGAAGGAAATGAGGATACTTTGAGTATAAGAAGCAAATCTGTTCCTAGTGCCTTAGATCAGGAACTGGTGAGTTATAAATATGTAAATATTTATCTGGCGGAAATCCCATTTGTTCAGTCTTGTGAAATCAGCACTGTATGTATAGCTATGTAAAATATTAGTAATGCAGAGCATTATTTCAGGGATAATTAATGTCTTTTAAACACCTTCATTTTCTGAGTATGTTGGCTGTAGAATGATTCCAATGAATAGTCATAGTTACAGTTTGTTATTGACTTGCTGTTTTTTGAGTTTGCAGGTGAAAAAAATCTGGCCTGAAAATTAAATTCAAGCACTATATTACACATGCTCCAAAGTTCTCTTAATTCATACTTTCTTAGATTTTAATTTTGATTCTGAGAAATACTATACTTTTAAAGGCTTTAATGTTTGTCTTGTTTTGATTTTCCCCTTAAATATACTTTTATCAAACGAAGCCCCAGCTTTCTGTTCTGTCACTTTTGCTTGCCTCTTCTTCATGTTGACTGTTTTGTCCTGTACATCTCCATGCCTTTTTCTATGTATTCTATGGGCTTCTTTTCCTGAAGTGTTGCACAGCTTCCCTCTCCTCTTACGCACATATCCAAGATACACAAGTTGCAGATGTGCATCAATACTATAAAAGAATTTCCAAGCTTGTTAAATATACCTGAGGGGAAAAAAAAGAGTTATTTAAATAGTTCTTCATCTAATCATAGTTTGTTCAGAAAGTTTCCAAATGTGTACTTGTAGCTTAAAAAACCCCATGACTCTCTCTGTTATGGTTTATGCATTTTGTCTATTGTCATAGTCCTTCCCTACCATCCGCTCTTTCCAGAAGAACATTGGCCAGGGGAGGTCTCTCCCCTTCTTGTAGCATTTGATACTTATGTCTTGGTGGGAAACAACATGTTGAGATTCCCATCTGTTTCTTGGATTATAAGCACTCAGTGAATTTGCCTGCAGCATTGCTTTGTTTGAGGTAATCTTTAAGGAAATAAAAAAAGCCTCTCTTGTGTGTCAGACTTCTGTGGAAGAAAAACTTCAAAAATAAGTGGATTTTTTTTTAATGTAGTAAAGAAAAAGGATGTGTTCTTGATGAAGAAGCTGGAAAATATTGCAGAATAAAAGCATAAAATAAGAAAATACAAACTTTAAATATTTTTATAACAGTTTTCTGCTCTAATTGCACAGGGTGCAGTAGTTATTACTTAGGGATTTCTCTGAGGCAGGTGCCAGAGATGCCAAGTCCACAGTGGTTTTCTATTTGATTTTTTTTGTCTTCCTCTTATTCAGAGGTGTTTGTTGTTTGTTTTTTTTTTTTTTTTTTTTTTGTTTTGTTTTGTTTTGTTTTTTTTTTCCTCTTTTTCTTTCTTGCTGACTCTGAATTAAATTTCAGATTGCATCTCAGCAACTTTCTAGCTTCTTTGCTGACACAGGAGACCTCTCTTGTAGCATAACCTTGACTTAGTTGCTCCAGGGTCTGTGAGAGTGCTAATTCCCCTTTAAACTTCACTCATAACAGGATGCAGAGATCTCTGATGCTACCCAGTGTTCTTGCTTGCTTTGTCTTATGAAATCAATTGATTGCATTCAACAGTTTTAGTATTACCGTATTTTTTTAGGGTAGTTTGACTCACAGGAGTCCGTCAGAGTTTTTCCCTATATTCATTATGGGTGCAGTGTTTTGAGATGAAAAGTTGTGTTCTTCCTGAAGTTTAGTTTATTTGGTGCTCAGTATAAGAGGCAAAAAGAAAGGTATCTGATGAAGATAACAGCTTCTGCAGCCTGAGTAAAGTTATAGTTCCTTTTCTCCCTGCAGGCTGGTAAAGGTAGCTCAAGTCCTTCAGTCTCTTTCCTGGGTGATGGGAGCTGACAGCAGTGGTGTGGGAGATGCCACGTGTCAATAAGATATGCAAACTGCTGGAATTTATTGGCTGAAAGGGTGGGAAGAGGCTTTTAGCTGCTTTGCTCCCAGCTTTATCAGGAAAACACATCCAGAGAGATCAGCTATAAAATTGAATGGGTATTTTGCTCCTCTAACTTAACATTGCACTTGATAGTGAAAAGGGACAACCCCCAGAAACCCACATACTGTAGTACATATTTATCAAGGAGTATGGGAAACCAGTTTAAATGTAGGGTTGTGTTCAAGTGTGAGCACCTTATCTAGAGGTGTATGTTGAATTCCTGACCAAGTAGTGTTCATTACATGCTCAGCTGCTTGATTAGAACTTAACTGGATAACGTGCATTTTATAACCCCCACTGGAGACCATGAGATTAATATCCTACTAGCTCTAACTTTAATAAGCTAATAACGCTAACCAATTATATACTTGCAGTTCTGTAACACCTCCTGAGAAGTATAATCATTGAGGTGCAAAATGAATTAAGAGCATAGGTTAAATGTTAACCGTGTTTTTTTAGTTTTAGATTTCTGCTTGCAGACAAAAATTGGTAGTCAGCTAGCTGTCATTAGGACCCTTTGTGAAGCTGGTATCTACACTTGAGCATCCAGACATGAAACACCTCAGTCTGAAGATGTTGCCTTTTTTGTCCTGTATTTAATTATTCAGGAATAAAAATGTAACACTGTTTATTTTAAAGTCTACAGGTATGTATACAGCAGTGTAAAGGAAAGTGTTTTGCATGTGTTACCAGACTTCCTTCTTCCTGTTGTATGGGCAAGAAGGAAAGTTATGTATTCTTGTGCCAAATTTTAAACTTGAGTATGTCACCTGAACTCTGAAGTCAGTGTGGAGAGTAGAACTGAAGGGTGGGGGGGTTTTTTGTTTTTATTTTAGTTTTTTGGTTTTTACTTTTAAAGGATTCAGTGCTCTATCTGTCTCCCTGAAAGTAGTTTACTCTGTTGTGCCTAGGTCTCCATGTATTTTTTCCTTAGAGTATAAAATATCTATGACTTTTTTTCTGTGGGGTGGTAACAGTGGCCTGAATAGATTGGAAAAAGAGACCAGCAGAGGAAGCTCATTGTAAGAGCATGAAGCTGAGAATAATGCTTGCTTCAATATGTAAATTTTGGACCCAAATAGAGTGATGGTTTGTCCTTGTTTCCGTCGGCTCAATATTAAATATGCAGTTACAGTTGGAAAGTAGTAATAGAAAATTTTGCATCACTTTCAGCTGTTTTTATTTCAGTTCAGTCACAAGGAGCAAAGAAGAGATGTAACAGTTTTATACCTACTAACAACAAACTCTCTGCAGATCTTTACATAAACTGTGACAGTTCAGCTCTCCAGCAGCATTTCTTCTCTGCTCTGTTTTTCCTGATTAGCACAGAAGTCTTTGAGACTCCTGAGTTTGAATACAATACTTATCTTCTTAGTTTAAGAGAGGGAGAGCAACTGAGCAATAGAGAGGTTGGTCACCACGTGGGATTTGTATAGATGCAAAGCAGATACAAGGAAGTTGAACATTTGACTGCCATTAAAACTAAAAGCAGTCTTTCAAAATACCTGCATAAGGCTTAAGGAAACACTTGCAATTTTCAAGCTACACTTAATAGGATGATAGCTGTCTGTTGCAGTTTTGTTCTGTAACTTTAAGTAAAGGTTGAGAGTCCTATTACAATCACCAATCAGATTTTAAGTTTCTTTTTTGATTTTGCTTTATTGCTGTGCTTAAAAATTGGAAACTAAGGATGTTACAATTCGGTCTTGCTTATTAAAACTCAAGGATATATATGACGCTATGTAATTACTGATTTTTTTCCTCTATTTTTAAAATTATTAAAATCATTAAAATTATACGGAAGTTTAATTATTTTTAAAACATGCACATCAACTGTTTTTTTTTTTGCTTACCTCTCAAATATATTCATTGTGTATGAGGACAGGACAGATTTCTTCCCATGTGGTTTGACAATAACCTAGGCTTTCAGCACTGCCTGTTAGAAAGTGGGTCTGTGTTAATGATCCTACTCACAAAATTGTCACCTGTCACCAAAGACAGCATGAAAGGGTGCAAGTGTAATGCAAATTCTGTGCTTGTCCATGTGTGTGTGACTGATACAAATGTGGATAATAATTGGAAAACTGGATTGCTGGATTGTAAAAAATGTGTCCTGTAAAAATATGGAACCTGGACTGTAACCAAGAAATCAATCATCTAATGGCTTCTGGCCACAAATGTCTTCAGGTAAACCAGCATCAACGATCCCCTGGCATTGGACCTTAAGTCACTCATTTCTTTTGTTAAGATGTGATAAATTCTTACCACATCCCTCTAAGATTTCCAAACCTGAATTCTTGAATGCAAATAGTAGTAAGCAGAGTAGGGTAATTCACATGGGATTGTCAGTAGGCATTGAAGTGGAATTTGTTTATGTGCACAGTTGTTGGCCATGCAAAGGTATTTGCCTACAGAATAAGATATGAAGTATGTGTGTCAAGTATTACAGTTCTTAAGAAGTTGAACCCTAAAACTGTAACAGTGTCTTTTCCCCTCATGCTGTGTGCCTGTGCAAAGATGTGGAAAATGTAAATCAAAATTTCTCTAGAGGTTAGAATTTTGAATGCATTCTGCACCATGTTCCTAAAGTGGAAAATATGTGAAACAAAACTAAATGACAGAGGCTGACCAAAACCAGAGCAGAACATGATGACTAAAATTCCTGTTTGTCATTTAGGATTATATGGATGAAACAGAAGAAGATATTGATGACGTAGTGGCCTCTCGTTATTCAAGGCAACGTGGACATTTGACAAGTGGATTATTAACAGTAAGATACTGAGTAGAAGACACATGTTTTTTCCTTCCAGAAAAGACTGTTGTTCCTCCAAAGAGTTTAACTTCATACCACTTAGCAGCAGATCATCTTTCATCCTGCCCTTGAGAAACATCCTTTAACACTTAGATAGTTTTGCTGTTGTATTTGTAATGCTGTTCAAAGTTAAAATGCTGTTTTCTGTAGCTCATGGAAAGAGAAAACCATTTTGCATACTCATCAGCAGAGTTCTTTACATGATCAGGTTACTACCAAGCTGGCATGTGGAGAAGGTAAACCATAGGTGTTTGCAGTACATGATTGCTCAGCTTTTCAGAGGAGCACTTAATCTTAATTTACTTGAAATGAAGAGAACAAGGCTGTGGCGGGATCTTCCAAACCATTTTCTTCTCAAACCATTTTCTGATTGCTGAGGTTCTTGGGACACAAACACTCATCTGTGTGTTTGTATACATACCATTTCTGTGGCAACATTGTCCACCCTCCAACACAGCTTTCCCCATTCTTCATGACATGATTGCTATGCCACTCACATCTGAAAAGTATTTCTCTTTACAGTGAAGAGGGAGATACTTGGGGATTTGGGTTGGTAACTACTTTTCTACCTTCTGCAATAGTTGTACTATTTTTCTGTTTTATCCTTTTGTTTCTTGTCATACCCACAAACTATATACCGTAAATCTGATGTCTGAGTCCTGTGGTTGTCTAACTGTTGCAACTTAACGTTTGTTTTAAATGGACAGCTGCATTTTAAATGGACAGCAGGTTGTAAAAAGTGCTTGAGATACAACAAAACTGGTATAACAAGCCTTATGCTGTCATTATGCAGTCTGTTATTCACTGGGAAAGAAAATGGATGATAAAAGTAGCTTTTAACATGTCTAGTTTATGACTACTTCCTGTGTACCCCATTTTTGGTATCTGACACTTAGGATGTGGGCAGCTGGATAGCATCTTCAGAAAAGTTGCAGAACCCTCTCTGGTCGTTCTTCTTCATGACTTTTGCCTAAGAATAGCTCTGGTCAGCATATACAGTATAGAAAACTGCACAAATGCCAGGTGAAGGATGAGAGAGTTGAAGCAGATGGAAAGATAAGTCTGTGTGCTAGAAGGGAAGAGAAAATTTGATCTGTGACAGCAAGCAATGAACTGTCCTTTCTAGACTGCATCCCCATTATTCCGCACGCAAGCAGGGACCAGGGAATGCCCGCTGAAGTTCATGATCTCAAAAAGATGGACTTGACTGAATCCAAGTTTGGCTTACCTGCAGAGATGAAAGGTCTGAGAAAATTTCCATCACAGAGCATTTTTGGTATCTTAGATCTGGCCATGTGCAGACCCTTTCCCCTTTTGATTTGTGTCGTTCACAGAAACAGGCACAACAGAGACCTGTGGAACTTCACACCAAATCAGACTTGAGCAAATATAGGCTGTTGACACTGGTCTAATTAGACCCACTTGCCTGAGGTTGACTATGACTCATTGTCTCCAATGCTTGCTGATCCCATGGATTTTATAGACAGAATTATTTTTATTTCCTCTTAATATTGATATGAGGGTTGCAAGTGCTTAAGTGCTTTCTCTGTTTCGGCCACTAATTGAGGAACTGCATTTAGAGAGCTTTCCCTCTGTGTGCTGCAGGCAGCATTCTGTCTCTGTATTGGGTTTTGTCCTTTGCTATAGATTTCCCTTTGACCTTTTTCTTAAGCAGAGCACAGCTTTTCCAGTTCTGTAGGTTTGAGGTAATCTCACATTTCAGTGCTCTCATTTCTCTGTATTCACCATAACGTGATTTTTTAATGTCACTGCATGCTATGTTACTGGTGAAGTTGTGAATGGCAAACTACTTCTCCCTGCAAGAGCAGGTCAATTTTTTACAGGTTCTTTTTTTTTTTTTTATTCCCCTGAGAGTGTGTTACTAACATTGCCCATCTCTCTTATTTTTGCCTTTACTCTGCTTTTTATAAGCCTTTGAGCCTTCTGCACTGTATGGATTTTTTTCACGTACTTACCTGTCAAATGACTGTGTACTGTTAAGTCATGCTGAAATAATGTTATTAATGAACAGTAGACTCTAACTGCATGGGTTTTCTTTGTTTTTTCTTTTTTTTTTTTTTTTTTTTTTTGAATATGAGAGCTTAAAGTACAGTATGGGTACTCTGACAATTAGTATTTGAGGTGAAGGAAGAAGTATCTCAAAGGGTAAATATATTTGAAATCTAACTGTAACATGAGTGAGCAAAAATGGAAATGGCAAGTGGCGTTGAACAAGAATCTCAGCATTAGGATATTTTGCTTCATATTTTCCCAAAGCTAACACATGAATTGTGTATTTAGATTTCCCTGCATCCTTCACCGATTCCTCTACTTAAACATATGAACGTATTAATGTGTTGTTGTCAAGACCCATCACATCAGTAAGACTGAATTTTTCCAGTGCCTTACTGCAGCTATAAGGTGCAAACAAATATAGTTCTTAGTGAAGTACTAAAATGAGGCTCCGCATCCTCCATATGTGGTAGCTGTTTACTGCTTATGAAACCAGAAAATTAGTAGATTTCTTAAGGACATTACATTTAGCATATGTAGTGTCCAATGTAAATGCCACAGAACAGAGTCTGTGGGGGAAAAAAGTCAAGTATATCAAATACTTCTACTAAATTTGTGTTATTTTGTTTGTGGTTTGTAAGCAATTCAGAAATCGTGTTTGTATAAATTCTAGGGTCAGAGGTCATCTATTTATTTAGGACTTTCTGTGGGGTTTTTTTCCCAATCATTTATCCCTCACTGCCCACTTACCTAAATATCAAGAAAAAGAATATTTGGATTCAGTAAAGAACAACTCATCTAACTCCTTGTGTTGGTATAACCTTGTTCATTTTCTTAAGTGGGCACACAAATTGTTACTTTCCTGTTACAAGGGTAGTTTAGGCATTTTGTAGCAGATACTGGGACTGCTAAGTTCACTAACAGTGGCCAAGGATACCCGTTTTCATGTATGCTAGAGGTGGGTGGAAATGCATAAATGATAAAGGCTGGAATTTAAGCTTGAGGTATGTTAGGAATAGAAGGAAATATGACATGTTTGGCAGTGTTTGTTGCTAATTCTCCAGCAATTTTCACCAGTCCTCTTCATGGAATTTCAGCCAATTGTACAAAGGAATAAAAGGACAAGCATTTTTCTTTTTTAAAAATGAAGGATAAAGGTGGCAGTGGAAATACAAAACCCCACCCACAATTTATTATTCCTACATGATGTATATAATTAACGTTATGGATAATGATTGCTTGTTCACGTTTTTCATCTGTTGTTGTTTACCACATTGACACAGGCCTACTTATTCCTTCAGCTTTCTTTGCTGCAGGGCCCTTAGGCAGGGTGCTCAGAGACTTGAGTTTTGCCATAGATCAATTCTTTCTGTGTTGTTCTTAGCCTTGACTGCAGCTGATAAGGAGGGAGGTAGATCAAGATGTAGTTTCCCTTGGGCTCGTTGGTGAGATTTCCAGATACTGCTCTAGCAAGCAGAGAGGGGGAATGTTTCCCTCAAAATTCTGTTACTGTTGTTTTTTTTTTTCCCCAAAATGTGTAAACAGTTGTGTGCATTGTTATCTATTCTTACAAACTCCACAGAGAAACTGAGATTTCTTGCAAAGGCACCAGTCCTACAAATACATAAATGCTTAGCTTTTGACTAGCTTAAGTGAGAATTGACTTTATGCAGGCGTAAATGAGGACAAATCCAAATACAATCCAATCTAAATCTTCTGAGTTGGCTGTTCTAAAGTGTAATATGTCTGTTTTGATACAGCAGATACTTAATTTCTATTACATTACCTTGAACCATGTGTCCTTCAATGCCTGAAGTATATGGAAAACACTTGTCTTTTCTCTGATTTGGTGATACCTTTTCCTTTCTTGCTTGCTATGGCTTTGCAATATAAACTTCCTTTACCTGTCTATATAGGTAAAGACTTATCACTGCACTTATTCTTTCTTATTGCAGTTACCTAATGCTCTTTTCTTTTAACCTTTTACACTTCCTTCTTTAAAGAACTCCCCAGAAGGCTCTGACAGAAAATGGACGTATTTAAATGTGCCTGAAACAGACGGTGATACTGTGAGTTCTCTTGAATCCTCTGCTTAGATTGCTTTTAAGGTTCCTCTCTCTTTTCTTCCTTTGTGTTGAAGACTATACATGTGTGTCTTGTGAGGTTCCTATGTGTTAGGATTTAGATGGTTATATATGTTTTCAAGCTATCTTGCTCAAGGACTCAAAAAAAAAATGTGCACCAGATTTCTTGAATGCCTTTGGTTCTGACAGTGTGCATATTACTCTGGTTTTCTTTAAAAATTTTTATTTCTTTCCTAATTGTAATCTTCTGGAAGAGGAAATCCTCACAGCAATACTCTGTATGGTATGAGTGAAAAAAAGATATTGGGAAGTGATATATTGCACTGAAGTAAATTTTGTGGGATTTTTGCAAAACTTTTTTGGCTTTAGGAAAATGGCTGAAATGTAGGGTATGGAGTTTTGCTTATTCTCTTATAATTACTAGTGAGAGGTGGCCGTTGCTTTAAACAAACATGTTTTTATACCATCTCCATTATGGGAAGCACCTTTATAACTTATTCTAATGGTTCTGTCAGCAGTTGTCTTATGAGACTCAGTAAAAATTAGGTGGACAGCTGAGTCAGAAAGATGGGTTGTTTTTTTTTTTTTTTTTTTTCCTTTTTTCTGCTTGGAACTTACCTGAGCTTACAATTTATGTAGCCTGTCTGCTCTTCAGTTCATGCATGAATTAAATAGTGGTAATTTAGATTTAGTCATGTTTATAAATAGGCTTGAGTACTGCATGGAAAAACATCAACTGTCTAGATGTTGAAGCTATTATTAATTATAGTTTTTACTCCCTTTTACATCAAAGAGAAGCACGTGGTATTTCTGTTCTATGATATATCTGTTTTCATAGCAAGTCCTAACAAGTGTGACAATATTACAAGGCTGTGACTGTATGAAAAAAGCAGATTCATGGAAATAAGTAATTTATTAAGCCTCTGAGTCCTTTTTCTCTCCCCCTCTAGACTAGCATTAACAGCATGCTGAGTGTATATAGTGAAACTGGTGACTATGGCAACGTGAAGGTCAGCGGCGAAATCCTTCTGAACATCAACTACAGCTACAAAACAGGTGCTCTCAACATCCTGATAAAAAGTTGCAGAAACCTGGCTGTTGCAGATGAGAAGAAACAAAGGACTGATCCGTAAGCACAGAGAAGAATTTCCTTTTATGCTCTCCTAGAGGTGTCCTCCACCACGTCACATGCAGTGATGTAGCTCGGGGTTGTGATATGAGCCTGAGAACTCATAGGATCCCGCTGGTACAAGCCAGTGTTTTGATGATGGTTGGTTTTGGATTCCCTGTGGGAAATGCATTTTCAAATGTTTCTTAGGTTAACACATGCCTACAATAAGATTACTTAAATTATCAATCTGTTTGATAGTAGTCTCTGCAAAAGGGCAAAAAAGATGAAGGAATAGGGAGGCTGAATTGATTTCTTACTTCTAGAATCAAAACTAAAGTATATGAAAGGAGTGATGTCTTGGAGGGCAGGGAGGGATAGAGATAACTTTAGTTTCATGCATACATAGATTCACTCTGCACAGACCATGATTTCTGAGTATCTCATTATAGTTTTCAGTATAATATATAAATTCTCTCATTAGGAAGTAACAATTAGTGTCTCTAATAGTGTGCAATCCTATCATATGCAAGGTATGAAGTTTTTAATTCTCTTGCATTTTCAGTGTATGTATTTTCATATGTCACCAGTCAGTAGTCATATACTACAAAAGGGAAAGTGTTAGGAAAGCTTTCTGCATTTCTGAGTAAATTCATTTAGCCCTGCCTTTTGTTATTCTGATCCTCTATGAATAATATTTGCTGTGTTTGTAAAGATGGTGCCTTTCCATGTTTCACATATTCTCTGTTACAAGTAGACATTGTTTAGACTGCAAAAATTAATTTCTTTGTATGTGTTGCTGATGCATCAATGAGGTCTTTGATCAAACTGGTCATTTCTATTCCTTGTTAATAATTTACTACTTGATCTACAGATATGTCAAATCATACCTTCTGCCTGATAAGTCCCGCCAAAGTAAACGGAAGACCAAAATTAAAACTAACAGCACCGATCCAGATTTTAATGAAACGCTGAAGGTGAGAACACTGTCTCTCTAAGACTGTGATGAATGTTCTACTTGTGTTCACAGGTGTTTTCTATAAGTGTTCCAGTGTGGGGATTAGAATTTGGAAGAGATGCCTCAAAAGCAATGTATTAAGCAAAACTGTCTAGTAAGCCTATGAGTTGTAATTTCTGGCTTTCAGCATTGAGAAAGTGGTTTTGTCTGGTTCTCCCCTTTATAGGTAAAGCTTCTATTAGTTTCCATAGATCTCTTTCAAAACTTCTGATGTTCCTGTCTAACCTGAGCTTGGAGATGTTAAAAGCACCTTCAAGATTTTGTAAGCTATAGGTTAGCAACCAATGCTGAAATGGAGCTAGATTAAAACTTCCCATCTAAGTGATTTTTGAAGATAAAATATCCTTTTGCAGAAAAATTTTAATTTCTCTTGGGGCTTTAATTTCTTTTTGAAGCAGAACTGACTTTGATGAGAAAATGCCAACAGCTTCACTATCTTCCTAAAAATCTGTGGTGAAGTTAATTTTCTGTTGCAAAAGACAGTGACAAATTACTTGAGGGCTGGTGGAGCAGAGCACCCAGGCTTTTCCTTCCTTGCCTTTTACCCACGTCCACTACAGAGGCCCAACTATTTTGAGCTCCTCACAAGCTGCTTATTCATCTCCTTGGCTCTGTGGTGCAAGTGGGAATGGCAGAATTTCTGCCCAGTTCATTGCCTGCCTGGCACCTGGACCACAAGGCTGCTGGTGATTCCCCTTCCTTGTCAGTTGACGAGAGTTATCCCAGCTGGATGTCATGAGGCCAGGAACTCTTTTTAGTTTATTCTGAAATATTTTTTTTTTCTAATTTCAGTGATGCTTTAAATAAGTTTCTTATAATAGAGTCTAATAGGTGTTCCCTGGCCCGTATACTTGGTTTAACCTGGCTAGAAAACCATTTTGCAGTCTTACACACACTTGGTCTGGCTAGAGTGCTTGCCAAGGGAGAGTCTCTTGTATAGCCTCACTTTTAAATGGTTTATAGTAAAGTTAAGACTTGCCTGAACTGGAAAAAAAAAGATGTTAGACTCTATTTAGCAAGGAACACAGCACTAAACATGTTTGCTAGTAGGGAACTTGGTGAAGATAGGACCTAGCAGCTTGCTAAAAATGCAGATTGTAACAAGAGGGCTGGCTTGAATTGTGAGTAGGTAAGCAAGAGCTAAATCTATTTGTTCCAACTGCTACTACTATTAGAGAAGAAAAATAATTAAAACTGTCTGTATCTTCCCTCTTTGACTTTTATTCCATTGTTGCTAAATATGACATCTCTCACAGTGGAACTGCTGGCATCTAGGTTTAAGCATTGTAGACATATCTAAATGAATACTTGTGTGGCTCGCCAACTGATTTAACTGTTTCAGCTTTTGGAGAATAGGTGTTAGTGTCCAGATGTTGCTCTTGATGCAAAAAATATGACATCTGGGTCTCCTCAGCTAACAGTAGGAGAAGGGTGAATTTCAGGGCATTAATGGGCCTTTTGCTAAAAGCAGAATGTGCAGAGCTAGAATTCCAGCTGTTTATAATTTTCTGTGTGTTTGTTAGAATATGATGTTTCTTCAGAGGAGTTTTTTAATAGCTTTCATACCAACAGTGGTTACTAAGACAGACACCCGGTGAATGCTTTGCAGATGCAGTTTTACTTGTTTTCAGAACAGTTTTTCATAAGCTACAAAGATACAATTGAAAAGGAGAGGAGGACACGATTTCTACAAAGTAGTGTACAGCAGACTGTCTTTAGGGATGAAAGAACCTGAGGGGGTTTCTTATTACTAACTAAACTTTGGTGGTGATTTTTTTATACTTGAAGAAATTAACAGAATCATAGTTTTAAGCATTGTAATTTACTTTTTAGTCATAAATACCCAGTAAGCAGTACAGAAAAAACACAACCGTGATAGTGACTTTAATTACCATTGGATGCATACTGCAAAGAGGAGAGTTAGATTTAACATTAATATTATGAGCTTTCTAGCTAGATCAATCTTGTTTGCAAAGAAAACAAATCTCTTTCATGCTTCATTTGTTAGCTGCTGTGGGCTTCATGAAATTGAGCTAAAGCTGTAAAAGGCTTCATGGAAACTATATTTATGCTTATTCTGGGAGTTTCTTTTTCTCTTTTTCTGTTGGTAGTATGTCATCAGTCACACGCAGCTAGAAACCAGGACCCTGCAGCTTTCTGTCTGGCACTATGACAGATTTGGACACAACAGCTTCCTTGGGGAGGTGGAAATACCATTAGATTCCTGGAACTTTGAAAATCAGGGCGATGAGTGGTTTTTGCTCCAGCCCAAGGTAAGTGTTTCCAGGGGCTGGTGAAAGTGTTGCAAAGCAAATTTAGCAAGGCTTAGTTATTTTTCCTTTGGAACGTGTTTATAAAATGGTTTACTTTGAGTGTCTAATATGGTAATAAAAATAGTATTTATGTTCTTTATTCAATCAAAACATACTGGTTTTAAAGTCTTCATGAAAACTTTACATGTGATTGGCTACTTAAAAACAAACAAGAAAACCCCACCTTTTCATCTTGTAATAAACTGCAGTGGAGAAATGACCTAGTAAAGAAATTGATTACTTTTTAAAGTTATCATATAATGCAATGGACTTTTCTATCACTGCCCCCTACCCAACCCTTAACAGTTTATTAAAGAAATAGATCTTTTTTTCTTTCAGTTCGAAGTGCCTCACACTTTCCAGCTGTGGCAAAAGGATTTATTAGTCTCTTATTCACCTTAACTACGAAGGTGCAAGATAAGGCTTCTCAGCAGGCAAATCTGGTTTGTGAAACAGGACTTACAGTGTACTTAGCTAAGGATAGGATGACTTCTGTCTCTAGGGCATCCCCTGCTTTGGAAAAGGTGTTTGTTTTTGGAAAAGGTTCAAAGAGCTATTGTAACCTAGAGATTTAAAGGCCTCTGCCTTGCTCCTGCAGCAGCCAGACTCCCAAGAAACTCCATCGGTTTAGATTGCCGTTTCAGAAAGTGTATTTTTCTTGCTGCAGAAAAATCCAAGGTTTTACTGAAAGTGATATGGAGATAGACTCGAATGACTTGTTTGCTCTATGTTCATTATTTTTAGGAAAATAGTGTTACATTCAGGGGTTTAGGAGGGAGTATTTGGTTGGTACCTTTCTCTCAGGTGGGAGATGGATCTGACTGCTGTATAATTAATTTCTAGGTCTAGTCCTTTGTGAAGCTTACATATAAACTATCACAAATTTACATTTTATTAAATAATTTGCCAGAAGATACATAAGGAAATTGGTCTCTTCTTTGAACACTTACACACCTCACACTTTGTAAGTGGCAAGGAAGATCATTCCCAGTTTCCTAGTTCATCTTTAATAAGGGTGACCATCAGCTCTTCCTTTATGGTCCAGACAAGGTGAGACCAGGAAGAAAAAGTGTCTAATAATGACAAGCATGTTTCAGTCAGCACTGTGGCCAGGCTAGGATTTTACCAGTCCTCCTCACAAGCTTGCTTCGTGTAAGTTGCTGTTGTTGGATCTGCTATTAAAGTAGGAGAAATGTCTAAGTCGTACTCTGTCATAGCTCTGGCTGGTGTCAGACGTTGCCCTAGTTAGTACCCACCAGTCTACAACAATAAGATACGCATCTAGTATTTGTTTTGCTTGCAGCTTGTATCCAGTGTTGGTCTGAAATTGTGCTTCTTACCATGCAGTAGCCTCTTTGTCATCTCATTTCAATCTTTGGGGATTTGTGTGTGCATGTATGGTTTCTTTTAATCCTGATGGGGGGATGGGAAAGACAGTCATGAAGCTCTCCTGCTCAGGAAAAAAGTAATGAGGTGTTAGGCATTCCAGCTGGAAAGTGTTGTCTGATTGTTTCCAAATCCATTAAAAGGATTTTTACATTAGTTCTTTTTTTACCAAAGAAAGCAAACACAGAATTGGTCTTGTCTGCTTTCTAAGTTGTTACAAATAATGTTTCTAAACTTAAAATGCTGCTAAGATTTTTGATCAGCAAAGATCTGATTTTATTTTTTAAATACCAATTATTTCATTTTGAATTTAAGAATAAGCACAGATTAATACATGTGGAAATTACATGTTCTGCCTGATAGAGACAGGAGTGGCAGTGAAACATTTCCCAGGTTTTATTACAGCACTCTATTTGTTCTGTCATTAATCATTTATCTGTTCTGGTGAAATGGTTGGAGACTCTGAGACCTGTTTGTTCTATGAGCATCGAATGTCTGTTGTCAGCAGGAGCATGGTTAAATCAGAAACCCAAGAGAAAATAGTTCTGTGGTTTAAGAGGGAGCAGAGTCTAGAGCCATGTTATATGTGGGTTTGGGGGAGAGGATGACAAATTGTTCCTGACGTAAGAACTTACACCATCACTTGTCCACCAGTAGAACAGAAAAGATAATCCTTGTTGCCTTTATGGGAAACTTTTTAAGCCATAAGTGAGCTGCCTGACTGGCAAGATTTAGATGTTGTGCAAATTATTTCACAGCCATTTACTAGAGGTTTTCTTTTGTCCTCTGTGTCGTGGTTTGAGCCTGGTCAGCAGCTAAACACCACGCAGTCGCTCACCCACCCTCCCCCCACTTGGGAACGGGGAGGGAATCGGAGGGGCAAAGGGAGACTCGCGGGTTGAGATAAAAACAGTTTAATAACAGTAACAGAACAATACGCTGACAGCAATATCAATGGGTAATGTACCATACAGCTGCTCACCACCCTGCCGACCGACACCCTGCCTGCTCCCAGCAGTGCAATCCCAAACACAAAGCCATCACAGCAACACTCCCAGAAGTGGCAGCCTCTCCCAGCCCTCTCCTGCCTTTATATAGTGAGCATAATGTCACATGACATGGACTATTCGGCCAATCGGGGCCCAGCCCTCCAGCTGTGCTCCCCCCGCCCCCGCACACAGGTGAGGGCACTGGGACCTGGGGAGCCCCTGGGGTCTCAGGGGGCTGCAGCTCCTCCCGCTGCCAGACCGACGGGAAGCTCTAGGCCAGCCCCAACCAGGACACTCTGTTGTAGCAACTGGCATCTGGCAGTGGTGGAGACAGGACCATTTTTCTCAGGTCAGTGCAGGAATGCCTGTGTTGCTGTAAAAGCGCTTTGAAGTCTCAAAAAGGCCATGTTGTTATCACTAAAATTGCCTTGTTCACTGTCCCATCCTTGTACAGACTTAGCCCTGCTAAACCTTTTTAGTGCCTTAGCCTGGAGTCTATGATATGACGGCAATGCTGACTCTGTGCATATCACCGTATGTATTTCTGGTGGTTTTTTGTTTTTTTTTTTTGTTTTTTTTTTTTTTTGTTCTGCCTTCTCTTGATAATAGAATTTTGACCTTCCTGGGTAGTCAGGAAACAAGCTGAATGCATTTTCAGAGAAATACTGTTACTGACCAGGCATTCATCTATAATCAGTTCTTTAAAGTCTTGTGTGATATCTTGGTGTATCTCTCAGCACACAAGGGCCCTCTCTCTTTATACATGCGCTTTGCCCCTGTTGAGAGATCAGGGAGATTTGTTGATTTGTACCCAAACCTAAGCCTAAAGCAGGTACAGAAATGTGAGCATCTGAGTAGTCCCACCTCCATTAGTTGGGCATCACTGAGCAAGGTTAGCACATGCCTGAGTTTTTCATAGACCTGATCTCTAATGTAAATGTACAAGACTTCTTTTTTCACTGCACCTGATTTTTCTAGAAGTCAGTTTGAACTGGCATAACATGTTCTCTCTGTGCTGTATCTGTTATTTTTAAAATGTAGTTTCCAACTTCTTACAATGCGAATGGAAGCTCAGCACACATCAGTGAAGGCCTAATGTTCTTTTAACAAGGATTCTCTGAGGAACACTGAATGCATTCTGTCCGGGCAAGAGTGAAACATTTATAAAATGAAAAGATGCAGAAATATTAGCTGTGTGGAAAAGGAGACTGGAAATAAGTTTTCAATAAGTTTTCCTATTTCAGAGCAGGAGTCTGCTCTCTTCCCTCACCTTGGTTCCCAATGCCTCCATTTCAAGAGTGACTCAGGAGTGACTCCTCTAAAGTACACTAAACCAATTATGGTTTAAAATCCTGATTGGGGGAGATAAGATCTGAATGTCAGTTTAAATTAGCTACAGTTTATATGTCCAGAAATACATTTGAGGTTTTTTTTCCTGTTTGTTTGCTTCACTTATTCATGCTAGATATCTCTCTCCTCTGTATGTTCACTGAACAGTGTCTAATGCTGTGTGGCTTTATTCTTCTGAGAGCTTGCATTTCCTAGCTCATAAAGTTTTCTAAAATGTGATTGCATTCAATTTGGAATGTCTAATTATCTGAAAGTAGGCTGGTATGTCTTGATGGGTCTAAGAAATGTTTCAAACACTATATTGGTGCAAAAGAATTAAAATCAAAAGAAGGTGAATGATTAACCTTAGCTGGATTTCTTGTTTGTTTTGTTTGTTTGTTTCCAGGTGGAGGTTGCAACAGATGTTGGGCTTCAATATAAAGGAGAACTGACAGTTGTTTTACGTTACATTCCCCCAGACAGAAACCTAATGCTTCCCCTAGGGCAGTTTCAAGGTAAAGCAGACGTTAATGGCAGTGTATGATAACATCTCTCTGAGTATTAAAAATCTGCACCTAGGGTGAACTAATGGTATTAGTGAAGATTGAAATCATACTTATGTATGCTCGTTGTCTTTAGCTGTGGAAATTTTGAACTGTAAGTATTTCTTCTGCTCTATCCTCTCCCCTTACATTGAACGTAAGGAAAAAGAAGGGAAGAAGAGTGTGCAGTCAAATGTTGATGCGTGGCAGTGACCTAATTAAAATAAATTCAGACATTAGATAACATGATCAAGGACAGCCACATAGAAATAAATTGTCTACATTGTAGTTTGTGGGTTCTTTGTTCCACTAGTTATATACAGCATATAGCTGATCAAAGTAATAGACTTCATTTAGTTCTTTGTGCTTAATTATCCTGAAGCTTACCTATCTCCTCACTTTCACCCTTTTTTCACAATGCTTTACCTCTGCTCAGTTTTACTGTATTACTGTTGTAATTCAGTCCTGCCAAATATTATTTGATTTCTTCAGAGTAAGCCATTATTTTCATCAACAATGAACAGCAGAAAAGAGTTACTAACTCCTTGCACTGTAGTAGTATGAGGAACAGCAGTCATCTGAAGTGAAAGCAATCATTAGATAGCATCTGAGTGTACACAGATATACCAGACACAGGTATATCACTGTCTTAGTGAGGGCACTGCTTGTTAGCGTTAGGATTTGGCAGATGTATCAGACTTTTTTCTTTTTCTTTCTCGTTTGGACAGATTACATTCCCTCTGCTAGCAGTAATTCCAAGGTTTTCTCTCTTAAAAGCTGATTGTTGTCTGAGAAGTCCAGATTTGTGCACTATGTGCATTTTTTAAATTTGTACATTTTAACACCTCTCCCAATTTTTTTTTTTCTGATGTTTTCAGCCTGAATCAGTGTGTATGATCCCTGCTGATAAGCCTCTTAGAATGCGCAGCAGCAGCAAGTACACGTGTCCTCATGCTGCTGTTCAAAAGCAGTGGTGTGTCAGTGAGCACTGTGTCCTTTGTCACTGTTTCCAAGGAGCACTGCATCCTTACACATGGAATACGTATGGTGTATTTCTGCATTTCAAGCTTTAGATTTTTGCATTTTTGTTTGTGGTATAGGGCTGCCTTAACATCAGTGGTGGAAGTGGATTCTGAAAAGAGGGTAGGACTTATAGGACATGCAGTTCTTTGTGTTCAGCATAGTAATCCATGAATAATTGTTTTCAGACAGGACTTCAGATAGAGCACTCTGTTGTGTCCAGCAAGGACTAGCTATTTATGTGGTCAGGTTCTTTGTCAATTATGAAGTGATTCTTCTGTCCCTGCCTTATTAGTGTCTCTACCCCTAGAGAATCAGAATCTCCTCATAAGGAATACTTTAATCCCATTGCAGTAAATGATTAAAAAAAAATATATAGCCAAGACAATTTATATTTCCAAATCAGTCATGCAGTGTATATATTATTTCTGATGATATTGCAATTCTGTTCTATGTATAGGAAAGAAGAGCTTTAAAAAAGGAAAAAAGGGAGACTCTCACATGCCATCTGGAGGTATATTAGAAGTCCTCATCAAAGAAGCAAAGAATTTAACAGCAGTGAAATCAGGAGGCACGTCTGACACTTTTGTGAAAGGGTCTGTGGCTTTTTTCTCCCCATTTTTTTAATGGCTGCACTGAATCATATTTTGTCCGACCCAGTTTTTTTCAATATATCTGTATATGTGTGCATGGAGTGCCAGTGCTGAAAAGCAGCTGACACCTTGAAAATGGTATGCTGAAGAGAAGGATGCTGTGTCACAAGGGCAGAGCGGTATGAGTTGTCCCAGTGGTTAAATACAATTGTATTTAAATATCAATCAGTCAAGAAGCAGAACCATTCATACAGAAGTATCCAGTTTGCTAATATGCATGCTGTTATAGAATATAATGTTTGGTAAAAGAAGGCACTTCCACTGAGTTGGCAAGAGAGAGATAGGTGAATATTCACCACTCCTAGAGGCAGGAAGTTGTAAATGGGGCTCTCTGTCTGGAGATGATACCTGATCTGATGGTGACATTTACATTTTCAGGAAATTGTAACAGTACATATTTTTCACTAAGAGGAAATAGGCAGAATATGTCTTGAATAAGAAACTTGCGTTCAGGAATATACGAGTCTGTTTGGATTCCTTGTAAAACTGCAAAGAGCATCTGTAAAATCTGGCATGGTCCATCAAGCTGAGGTTCTTTCTAATGGGTGTCACCTGAAACATGCAGAAAGAGAAAATTCATTGTTTGTGTGAGGAAATTCCGTTTTGCTTCAAGTAAATATGCTAAATGAGAAAATATTTTTCTCTCTTATACTATAAATAGTTCTGTTGTGTTGGTTTTTTTTTCTAGTGCTTAATTGGCAAAGCTCTTTGGCCTGTAGTATACTGTCAAGGAGCCCATTTAAAACCCTGAAGGTTCCCAGGACGTCTATCACTGACTTCAAACTATAGTGTCTTAACTCTAATTCGTGTCTCATTGTTAAGACTTACTGTTCTCTAACAGAAGATATTTAAAAATTCTCTTCTGATGGCTTTCTGGTTGAATTTTAAAGGTGCATCATTTTGAAAAATCTAAGACCTGTGTCACTTGTATGCCTGTATGCATACACGTACATATATATATTACAGCATATATGCATCTTAAGATAAGCAGCATTTTGAGTTGGACAGTCACAATCCAAATGATATAAGAAAATTCTACATATAGGATATACTTGTGATTGAATAAAATTAACATAATTCTGCATTGCTTCATTATATTGGATTTTTCATATATGTAAGGTATGCATTTGAAATACTATATTTAGGATATACTGGATCGCTTAAAACATTTTTCTTTGCCAGTTTTTGCTCTCAATGGTAGCCTTCAGAATTGCTAATATTTAGATATGCTGTAGTTCATTAGTGTAACAGTTTGAGTGCTGTTAGTAAGTGGTGACCATCCTGCCATTAGTTCCCTGGAGGAGCTGAAAATTTATCTTGATCTGGTAGTGTGCTTCAAACTACCACTAAGCTCATACACTTATGTAGAAGACAATTGAGCTATTCTTTCTATGTATTTGTTCTCCCATGTCATCTCTCTTTGACTGGTATATGTGAAGGCATTTTCTTTTATTGAAAGTAGACTGTCTGATCCCACTACAGCTTGTTCCCACCTGTAGCTTGCAACAAGCTTCGGGGAGAAAATGTTGTCAAAACCTCTTTACATTAGCAGTAGCAGTGTGTGGCCATTAACTCTCTGGACCATCTTTACTTAGTGGTGTCTGCTGTTGCTGACATGGATTATTCAGTACAGTGGAACTGGAGTGTGTTTTCCTTGGACTATTGGTCTGTCGTGTCATGGCCAAAGGCATAATCAAGTTGCCATGAACCAGCTGAGCTGCTGCAGTGGTCTAATCTGCACTGTTAGCTTGAGGTAATTTGACATAGATTAGTCCACAGTTAACCCACGGCAGTAAACCAGCTCATGTTTATTGTCGATTGAAAGCCTGCACAAGAATCCTGGTCTAATGATCCAAGGTCTAATAGTGTAATTTGTTTGTATGTCTGACCCTTTAGTATTTATGTGCAATCACAAGTTACTCCATTAGCTTTGCTGAAGGTGAAGGTACAGCCTGTAAAAATTTGCCAAGACCTCTGATTTTCAACTAGAGTATTAAGTTATTTTAGTTTCACTAAAAGTAAAATGTGAAGAGCTTGTCAGACTTTACAACATTTGTATTTCTGCACTCAGCAGGGCTTTAGGCAACCCAAATTAATGATGCTAACCTGCTGAAGTTTATACCCTATCAGCCATTTCCATTTAGTTTCTGGAGGACCTCCTGTCCTGCTTTGAGAGGGAGACTGGATGAGGTGACTTTGTTTATATTTAGCCTCACTGAAATAAGAAATTTGCTGTTAAGACCCAAGATTCGGGACAAGGAGACCTATTTCCCATTTCTGCTGGTGATAACTGACATTGTAACTATAAGTACAAATGGAACACAAATGCAAAATATGCACTTCAGGCATATGCTTAATTTAATAATGGAGGGAAGAGGGGGTCTTGATCCCATTTGAACCTCAACATGATTGTCACTCTTCATGAATATTACGTGACAATCCATCTATGTATTCAGTTTTCCTTTTCTATAACTTGCAGATACCTACTCCCAGATGACAGCAAAACTACAAAACACAAAACTCCCATAATAAAAAAGAGTGTGAACCCCCAGTGGAATCATACCTTTGCCTTCAGTGGCTTGAATTCAAGGGATATACGTAACGTCTGCCTAGAATTGACTGTGTGGGACAAGGAGTCGCTCTCCAGTAATATTTTTCTGGGAGGTGTCCGTTTGAGCACTGGAAATGGTAAGATCCCACCTGACTGGTGACTGTGTTTGTTATTCTGCTCTCCTCCTTCCCACCCCAAGTGGGATTCATGTATATGAGGGACAGAAATGTTACTGAATGAATGGAAAGTGTATGGGAACTTGGGGAAATTGAAAAGGGAGAGAAGGGTGTGGCTAATCTGTAGATGATTTAGTACTTCCCTTCATTGAGTGAGACACAAAAATTTGGTGCCCAGTTGTACTTCTGCGCAGTGTAGAAGAATGTAGAATACCTTGGAAGTGTTTCTTAGTGTCCCAGTGAGAAGGACGAGACTACTTTTGCTCAGCAGCAGCCTTTCTGCTGACGATGGTGTGATATGGAAGAAGTGTGGGCCCGTTCCTACTCTGCTAGGAGAAAGTTGCTTGCAGTGCAGAGTGGGGAGGTTTGTGAGCCTTTGCCCACATGACACAAAGGAGTGTTATGAGAAACTGGTGCTCTCCAGGAGATACCTGTTTTCAGTGTATCTCCCTGTACAGGCGGTAGTGTAAATTGCTTGTCAGCTTTCTTGTACGCTGTTGGACGGAACAATCAAGGATATTAAGTAACTGCTTACTAATATGCCAAAATGTCTCATGTTTTTGTAATTGCCAGGTGTAAGTAATGGCAAGGAGGTTGACTGGATGGACTCTCAAGGGGAAGAGCAGCACCTCTGGCAGCAGATGATTGACAGCCCTGGAGCTCCTGTGGAGGGGATATTAATGCTGAGATCCAGCATGGGAAAACGCAGGCTCTGAAAGACTTTAACTACTGAGGGGGGTACCACAGGTACTCCTGACTTCAATGGTGTTTTGACTCTTGACACTTTGCCCATTTGAAAGTGGGGAAGGATTGTACTCTTTGCCTTGGATGTTAAGGTTTTGAGTGAGATTTTAATGCATTCTGCACTTTCATGCACACATTTTTAATCCAGGCTCCTTGTATGGATTATGTTTCTCCTGGAGCCAGTGAGAAATTGACCTTGCTCAGAGATCGGACTGGCTTTCTCTGTCCCTTCTGGTGACTGGTGTGCAGCCAATGAACGCCTCTGTCTGTGGGGGGTACAGAGTGATCAAATTCTCTAGTTAGTGATTTAGTAAGTAATGTCTGGTTTACATATCTCCTTCTGGGTCAAAGATGGCCTAGAGGACAGCAGTGATACAGTACAAGCAGAGTCAGAGAGAGTTTCTGCTTTGGTATTTGAAAGATAAAAAGCCATAATGTTATGAAGGGTAACAAGCAACATTTCTTTATCATGTTTGCTCGCTGGGCTGTGCAGCATGCAGGATGGCAGGCTTGGGACCAAACAGCCCCCCGAGGAAGGCCAATGCACTGTGGTGCACACTAGAAATAGGCAGCAGGTGAGCTGGGGTACAGTGCTGGCGTTCTGGAAATCTCTGGGTTATTTTAATGCACTGTATAAAAGGCAGACTTGGTTCAATGTAATCAAAGAGCCTCTAATGAAAATAAATCATAACAAATCCCCAAACATTTACCACAACTACATGGTATGACTGGGTTTTTCATTCAGTTGACAGCTCTAGCCAAGATCTTCTGATGTCATTGAACATAGGCAATATGTTCACATGCCTGTCACCACTTGATGAGTCGCTGAGATGAGACACATACTGGGTTCGGACACAGTTAGCTAAGACCCTGATTCAACAGATCGTGTAGTGAAGTGATGTGATCAAAGCACATGCCAGAATGACTTGCATGACTCTGGAATTTTCTCTGAATGGGCTGGGATCCCATACAGGCATCCCCACACACGTTAATTAATAACCAGAGTGGAACTTTTTCTCTCCTGAACATTCACCTGGGAGTTAACAGTGAATTTAATGATAAGAGTGGGTTTTGGCCAATTCAGTCTTTAATCTTATTAACCGTGAAAATTATTCAACAGTAACTTTGCCATTTGGTTTTCTAAAGTGATTTTACACCTACTTAGATCCCCCATCCTTTGGGGACTTAGGCAGGTCATGTGTGAAGAGCATGCTGTTTTGAGTAGCGATGGGTTACTCCTACCATGAGACAGGATTATAGTGTTTTTTCAAGGACAGCACATGCCTGCTTGCAACATCGAATAACATAATTGCCTGGCTTGTGATCGTTCAGGGTATAAGACAAAGGAAGATCAATAAACTGAGTGAACAATGTTTCTTCTGAATTTTCCAGAATTAGAACACAGCTTCCTATTTGAACTGGTAAATTTGTCTGTAGCTATTCTTACAATTTTATTTTTTTCCCCAAATGTTTTATTTTTGGAAGCAATATAGTATTAGTACTAAGGAAACAAACTGAAATATATGGAAACATAATCGCATAAAGTACTAGAAAATAACAGACTTTCAAAGAATGTATCATTCCCTTTAGATCAAAACACTATATTATTCAAAGACTTCGGTGAAGAATGAAGACCATAAAATCTAGCTTGTTTGAGAGATACAAATGTTGTTCTTCACAATCCAGAAATTACAAGAAATCTAGATTGAACAACAGAATGTGAACTCATAGCTAAGTAACTATAGCTGGACATGTTGACATCTCTAGCTGTCTTAGTGTACAACTATGTACATGTATTTAGAGCTGAATCAAAAAGCTGAAAATTTAATGTCCCCTTTTTTTTTTAAGTTATTTTATACTGGTTTTGGCTTGAGTGGCTTGAAACAGTGGGGAAGTTTACAAACAGTCTTTTAAAAATCTAATATTATTAGATAAAAACTTTTTGTTAAAAATAGTGTCTTACTTTTAATAAACTAGTTTGTTTCATTATGAATATTTTCTATTAAAATTCTGAAATGACTTTGAAAAGTCATTGGAGATACTGCTTGCCCAGTTTGAGACCCACAATTTTCAGAAATTACTGAGTCATCCTTGAAAATAAAATTCCATTAGAGAATCTCAGTTTGGCAACCAAAAGTCAGTAGTTGCTCAAGAAAACTGACTTCATTTTTCTTCTTTATCTAGTCTTCATTTTCTTCTGAAGTCCTGCTCAGATTGGGCAGTGAAGCAAGTCTAGTCTAGTTTTAGCTGGCTTTTCATTTTGTGCTGCAGATGCTTCGAGCTGATAAATTAGAGCACAAATGTGAAACACATTTTATGGCCTTTTTCTTATCATGATAGTCTTTAAGTATTAGATTTTTTTTTTTTTTTTTGGTATCAGCATCCCCTAATGTGAAACCAAACCTAAGTTTTAGTATCTAAACTACCTCTCTCTTTAACAGAATCAGTCTAAGTTGTCTTGGTTGTTTGTACTGCAAGCCTGCATTTGTTTTGGAAATAATAATATATTGACATGGAGACTTCAAGCTTGATTTTTTTTTTTTTTTTTTTTTTTTTTTTTTTTACTTCCTGGAAGTTGATTCAAAAAGATAAAGCTTGTTAAATCTGAAGAAAATGATTCTTCAAGGTAAAATTTCAGCTACAGTTGTAGAGAAACACTGGGCAGTTGGATGGTTTGGTTTTGTTTCATTTTGATGGTGAAAATGGGAAAACTAATAAAAACACAAAATATCCTCCCAAAATGGTCACCTTTTTCTCTTGCCAAATTGAAAAACTTGAAATAATTTTGAACTGAACTAAACCTTTTACTTTTACATAGAGTACAAGAGTTTGCCTAATTTTTGAATGGTATTTTCTAACCTTCTAAGTGTGAACATTTTAGCTAAAGCAAGTCTTGCTTTGAAAGGAAAAAGTCTGTGCTTCACTACTTCAGCTTCTGCCCATTCTGATCCTGTGATAGAGTTTATGATGAATGGATTCACCTGGGAGATGTCAGCCAGCTCATACACGGGCTTTAAGTTCTGCCTTTTCCTTCCAAAGGGTCAAAATTTCACTCTGAGCCTGCACGTGAAATTACAGACTGGCCTATGAATAGACTGTATGTGTCAACTGCAGTTCAGCATATGAATGGGATAATTTCACCTGGGAAGTAATTTTGGCCAAGGCAGTGGTGTTTGCCATTGGTAGGATTTGCAGTAGTACAGTGAGATTACCTCCAAGGCTAGCAGTGACTATTCTGCATTATGGTAGCATATAATAGGTATCACACTGCCTCAAATGAGCCTTGGAGAGATGATGAGTATCATATAAACACTAAAGCAATTTGGAAAGATTTGCTGTTCTATACTGTTATTGGCACATTTGTAGGAAGCATCTGATTTGTGGAAAATGTCACATTTAATTATATCTCTTATCTTTGTTCTATTCCTTTACAAAAAAATGATTTATGGTTTGGAAAAAGCACAAGATGATTAACTGCAGATGTGATTTCTTGTTTCCCAGATGTTTGAATTAATTGCCTATAATTGTGTGTCATCATGTACTGTGTGTTACCAGGCTGAACAAAAAGACAGCCAGGAATTATGCTAAAGCCTTCCTTTTGTATGTATGTTTATGGTATTGAAGATGCCTGAATGGCTTATTCAAGGCTAATTTTTAGGAGAAAATAGCCACAATTTTAACATTGATTCATAAACTTCTGCCCTGAGTAAACAGACACAGCAGAGCTGATGTTTCTAAAGTCTTTTCCCACACAAACTTGAATAACTGAAGATGTATCAGTGGCGAAGAAATCTTCTCTATAGTGGTTTTTGAAAATGTGTTACACAGTACATTTTACTCTGATGTATATTATTCTAGCAAGGTAACTACAGGGCTTTCATCACGGTCTCTTCCCCCTTGTGATTAGATTTTGAAGGTTTGACCCATTAAAGAATAATAAAAGTTCAGCTTTCACTGTAAAACGCCAAGTGAGCCCAGTAAATAGATCTTTAGACAGTGTGGTTATTGCCAGTATCCATCAAACAGAGCTGATGCTCAGGGCTCTCCAAGCCCTGCCATCAGACTTTGATGTCCAGCCCTGTTCTCTGGAAGTCTCTCTGCTCAGTTTATCAGCTCTGTATGCAATTTATGCTTCTAAATGTTGATGCTCTTGCTTGCATGCTTAGATGCCAAAAGCAGGCTAAAATAGGTTTGAAATGGCCTCCAGATCTCCTCCACCTCCACTGTGTTACGTCTGAGCGAGTGTGGGAGGAAAGCTGCAAAGACTCTGAAGGACACTGTTGCCATCTTCCTGTGCTAATCCAAGTGCCATTGCCTCCCCTGAATGCCTTTTAGATGCCACATTTTGATCCTTCTTTCCCAGCTGGATGCTTTAGCAGATGGTTTAAGAGAAGAAGGCATTGGGATGGTAAGTATGTTTTGATCATGGTGCATTAGACTGGAAACTTACTCTGCTGTGCTTCTAACAATGCAGATTATGCTAAGGTAGCATGAAAGAAGCATTTTTATGTATTAAATTTTTGTTTTTATTTTTCTGCCTGATTAGGCCCCGACAAGTGCAATTATTCTAAATTGTATTCTGCAAAATATCAACTATACTCAACAGCAGAGCAGCCATTGGGTATCCACTGGTGCAAATTTATAAGGAGAGGTAACAGGAGGTTTACATTTAGACTGGCATAATTTTCGCTTCTGAAGGGGTATGCATGTTGCCCAGCTTCAGGCACATAGGGTTTGTGGTTTGCTCTGTGGTGAAGAGAAGGGCTGCTTGGATCTCCTTGACTTTCAGAAAAGAGCTCTGAGTCCTATTTACACAGCTGCCTAGTTGGTGGATTCACACAAGATAGTAAGGATTGTACCTGAATCTTTTCAAAAGTCTCTCTTCACTTCATCCCTCCCTTCAGTTCAGCAACCCTCACCAGAACGTTCTACCTGAACGTTAATCTCCAGTATCTGGAAGGAGGCAACATGCAGCAGTTAAGTGATAGCCCTACTTATTTTCATCCATACAAGGTAAAAACTGAAATTATACTTCCCTAATGTACAGTATTGATTTTCAGCACTTTGCACCAATGACAGAAATAACCATCTCCTGAGAGCTGGTCCATGCACTTTGTAAACTTTTTTTTTTTTAAATAGTTTTTTAAAAATGATTATTTATGTATTTTTACACACAGTGTTAACATTTGGGAGCTCTAGATAAATGGTGGTACAGCATATGATGAATTCCAAAATAGGATGCAGACTTTTATTTGCAGTGATGTCTTTCAGCATAACTCAGCAGGAGATGCCGAGAAGCACGCTAGCAGAACCTTACCACTGTGTCCCATGAATTTCTTGCCTGGTGATTTCATGTTTGCAAATGCTGTTTGATAAGTGCTAATAAGACAGTGTTAATGATACCGTGTATATTGACACACTGGAAAGTGATTCTCAACTTGCTGTCTAGGTGTTTTTTAGGTTGTTTTGAAACTTGCTGCATCTTGGCTCTTTATTTAGATTAGTTATTTCAGCAATTCTGCTTTATGGCAATAACATCTATATGGCTGTGTGTTACTGCTCCTGAGACCTTGGTGTATATTTTTGAGGGTAGTTCTACTGTTGAGGTGTCCCTAAAGCCAAGTGTAGTCATTTGTTGCAGCAATTAGAGAATGTCACATATCCCTTGTTCTGTCTTTGTTCTGCTTAAAATCTGTTGCTAGCTGTTGGTTTAATTATTCTGTTGGACATGAACAGTAGTAGCAGTAAATGGCATTGCATTATGTTAAGTTCTGCCCAAATTTAGACAAAACAAAATGTTTCCTGCCCAGAACATTTTTGTACTATGCACTCTATGTTCAGTTTTGTGGACAAAGGTAACTGGTAATACATTTGCAGCTGTTGTCAGGATTATTGTTCTATCTTTTAAAATTAAAATAGTGAAACATGTTGCTGTGTCCTTGCCTCTCCTAAAATGCATTACAGCAAACTTATAAGCATGTCTTTCAGGAATATCCCATATTATTTCACTGAGGTAAAGACATTACTTTACTTATATATGATGAATAATGCAAGAGGCCTGGCATGTCTTCAGAGATGGGACTCCCTTGACAGTGTCTCTCTGGTTTTTTTACTTGTCTTAATTTCTACACTTCAAGTGGTTTTCAGCTATTTTTTATTTCGTAAGCATTAAACCTGTTTTCTTTTTAACATATAAATCTAAGAATAAGGGAAATGCAGTGTTGTCTTCCCCTTTGCTAGGGAATTATTTTGCATGTGCCTTAACCTTGCTTGTTTAGCAGGTCCTCCCCTCCATCTCCGAATCTCCTACCTCTTCCCTAGTTCAAGGTCCTGCCCACCTGAAAATCTAGATATGTTCAAAATGTAGCTTTTCTGTAATTACTGGTCCTGATTATTTTTTTAATGGAAAACCAGAAAACATTTGATCATTCTGTGATCACTCAATTTATACTTTCAGCTGAGTTGTGTTCACTTCAACTGATATCTAAGAGGCTGAGGGCTCTCTTGCATCATCTTTTGGTTCTCTGGTTCCCTGGGGTTTTGTGTCTTGCTGTCCCTTTCCAAATGTCTGAGAAACTATAGGAGTGTTGTGGTTTGAGCCTGGTCGGCAGCCAACTACCCTGTAGCTGCTTACCCACCCTCCTCCCCCAAACTGGGAATGGGGGAGGGAATTGGAGGAGCAAAGGGAGACTTGCAGGTTGAGATACAAACAGTTTAATAATGGTAATAAAATGAAAACAATGGCATCAATAGAAAATACAAACAGGCAATGCACAGTGCAGTTGCTCACCACCCGCTGACCAATACCCAGTTCATTCCCAGCTAGTGATCCCGAAATACCAAGACACTGCAATCACAATCCCGAAAGCGAGAGCGAGCCCCCCTTCCCGACCACCCCTCCTCTCTATAGTGAGCATGACGTTCCATGATATGGAATATTTCACTTGGCCAGTTCGGGTCGGGGGCTCTGGCCGTGCTCCCTCCCTGCTCCCTGTGCCCTTGCACTCGGGCAGGACATGGGGAGTTGGAGGGTCCTTGAAACCTCAGTAGCAGCTGAAAACATCAGTGTGCTATCAGCATTCTTCTCATACCAAACCCAGTGCTGAAACTAAAACAGAGCAATATTATAGTTACCAAAAAGGAACATTAATTCTGTTCCAGCCCAAACCAGGACAAGGAGACAAAAAGTGCTGCTGGGCCCTGGCCCGGTGCTTGCTTCTGCTCACTTGGCTGTAGTCTGAAAGTCTGGCTCAGTGGGTGGGGTTCCTTTGCCCAGGTTAAGGGGAGACCACCTCAGTGGGGTTCACTGGTCTCTGAGTGTGATTTGGGCACAGGCAGCTGGCTCTCTTGCCCTCACACCACTCCTGTCTAGCTTGTCACCATGCTGGTTCTGGCCTTTATGGGGGTGGGAGGCCAAATACCAGTAAACTGGAAGGCAGCTGCAGGTGGGGAGGAGCCCTCCTGCCATTCCATTGCTCCCTCTCCGTACCTTTGCTTGGGACTGGACTTAGGGATTTACTCTGGGTTCTGGAATACATCTCTTTAGCTTTTGTACAATTGAACTGCAGTCTCTCCTCCCCTTCTCTTTGAGGTGATATATGCCAAGTTCTCCTTGTGAATCTGAAGTATTGGCCAACCTAATCACTGAAATTCAGGTCCTGGTTACTTTGGGTGAATGGGTGGCAATGGGAGATATGGTGGTACCTAGATATGCACTAGCACGTTCTGCATGGACAGTGGCTTTCCCATTCGTTTCCCTGGCATTTTACAGAGCTTGCAGCAGCTGGATCGTGGCTTAAAAGAGGCAGAGAAATGCAGGTGCTGTCCACAACTGCTCCTCACTGGCTTCTCTAGCCCAGGCAGCCTTGCTGCTCTCTGCCTCCCAGTGTCTGCAAATGCTTCCCCACTCATCCCTTCACCGAGCTGCCGTAAAAACATCCTCCAGCCACAGACGGAGAGAAATGGGCAGCAGCTACACAGCTGAGGGGAGCTGTGCCATCTCCTGATGGCGTGAAGCACTCGCTCCCTTCTCCCTCTCTGCGGATGTACAGCACTGACAGAGACCGAGGTGAGTGGCTGGAAGCAATCTAGTGCTGAGATTGCACAGCCTAAGCTCCATTATTTCACCACCTCAATTTAAAAAGTGGGTTGCATTTAAATGTACTTCAGGTTACTTTTTAGCCTCTGTGTTTTCATTAATTATGTGATGCAGTCTGACTCATGCTCTTATGTAAGTACTGAGCTGTAACGAAACTGCACGTTGTAGTCATTTAGTGCAGAGCTGTAAGGGTCATTGGTGTTTTCATTAAAACAGCTTTCTGTCCCAGGGGGATGGTCTGAACTTCAAGAATAGGGATGTGCAAGTGTAAATTCTATCTCTGCTCTGCAGGTGTAGAGGAGGTGTGTGACGGCAGGGGTTGTTCTCATCAAATTAGGTGGATTTCTTGGGTAGGATCTGGGGAAAATCAGCTATTTACAAAATTGTTTTGTGCTCAAGGGAAACTGCTGCTTCCCACAATTTATCCCAGCTGTTTTGTTTGCAAGATACTGTATGACAGAAACATGAATTCTTTTCTGGTCTAAAATTATTGGTCTTTTGGTTCATATTCAAAATGGAAAAGTATCTCCTGATTGATGTAGGAACCTCCAGGCCGTGGCTGTATCCGCACACTCTGATCTGTCACCTTTCCTGCAATGAATTGCCTGGAGGTGGGAGTGGAAAGGGCAAGACTCATGGCAGATTTTGCTTCTTGGAAACAGTCTTTAATTCTCCCAAATAAAATTAATGTTTTGAACAGGATTTGAATTTTGACAGCATTGGTAGGATTAGAACTATGACAAGAAGAGCCATGTTGGTAGTACAACAAAGACCCCAGCCTGTATGATTTTGAGGAAGCTGAATTTTCTGTTAAAAAAAAACAAACAAACAAACAAACAAACAACAAAAAAAAACAACCACAAACACATGCACTGCTGTAGATGCTGCACCTTGTTTACAGAGTGTTGCTTTTCTGGGACCAAAAATCTACAGGATTAATTGTTGGAGTATATTTGAATATTTGGAGTTTATTTGAATATATAAATGCTGGGCTAAACCCAGAAATACTAAGTCCCTTGTTCAAACACTCCTTTCCGAAAAGGCCAATCTGCCACATCCCTGCATAGCATACATGCAGGCTGATTTGTCTCCAAAACAGAGATGGCACATGATGTTTTTCACTGTTCCCCACAAAAATGTACAACAGAAAATGCCAGAAACCTCGTATTACTAATCAAGAACAGCTTTTCTTAATCACAAGATTTTAATAGATGTTCCATGTAGAACAATAACTAGTAATCCAATCACTCATGCACTCTCCTCCACTTAGTTCAATTTCCTGTAACAGCCTAGTGATTGCAATCACTTTCCCGATGGTGGCAATTGTAAACCCCCACTTCTGTTCACCCAGCCATGAAAGATGACTGGATGCACTGATTCTGTACAGAAAGCAAAATGGAGCAACAGTGGATTGGAATTGCAATATTACAGTATTTTTTTTTTCTTAGATTTTATATCATTGGAAATCAGTTTATGTGCTTTTTCAGCGAGGAATATGAGGGGGGAAAAAAAGAATCCCGTGCACCTGTGCACTCATGCTATAAGCTTATGCCTGCCAGAGAACTGTGGCCACGGAAGTATGTGTATGGATGTGGCCTCAGGCTCTGTTCCACGTGCGACACTTCATGCATGAAGTGGTTTGGTGTGCTTGGCCACGTCTGGTTTTCCTAACCACTGGTGTTAGGCAGCAGAGAAGAGGCAAGCTGGGGTACAGCTGTGCCCATCAGCATACTGGCTCTTACCCTCCTTGCTCCTTTATAGTCCAGGCTTTATAGAAAATCCTGAGTCCAGGACTTTCTTTTTTGTCTAGTCCAGTCTGGAACAGAAATGTTCTTTCTGTGATTTTTGTCACCAACCCTGTCCTTGCATTGTATTTGTAACAGCAATACTCACAAAGCTCAGTCAGGGCTTCCCTTGCCCTCTGGTTGCTCACCCTTGCAAACCTGGCAGCACGACCTGCAGAGTTCAGGGTGTATCCAGATCTTCTTTGCCTCTGGCACCATCACTGCAGGGAGTCACCACCCGGCCTGTGCCATGCTTTCATACCGACTCGGGGATGTAGTAAGCAGTCTTGTAACTCTCTTGGAAGCAGACCATCCCGTTCAGAAGACAGGGCCTACCACCACACACCCCCTCTTTGGTGCTGTCACGCCTCAGACCACAAATTAGCTTTTGCTAGCTAGCGTCAGGGCTGACTTCCCTCTTTCCACATTCATTCCCTCATTAATTCACTTGCAGAAGCAACCATTTTAAGAGATTTTGTAATTTCAGCGAGTGTGAGAGACTGAATTCTGATAAGGACTGCTTTAAAGATGCTGATAAACTCTTCCTCTGCTGACATCAATCTGTAAAATTAAACAATCATCTACCTTATGGTCAAAGACAAACAAGCATTTGGCTGAAAAAACAGGGCTGTGCTCTTGAGTGGCAAGAATAAACAGCACAGACGCAGGAGTGCTGCTTTTCAGGCCTGTCAGATTATGCATCATATCCTGTAACTCACAGTTTTCATTCCTTTGATGCTTATATTCTTCATGCACGATGTATATTCTTTGCAGTGGATTGGCAGGACTGTAGTCTATAACAAAACAATAGAAAACTCTTTCCTTTTTTGATTGCCTCCTAACACTTCTTATTAAGCAGGAAATAATTTTTGTTAATTTGTAAGTGATGACTTGCAAAGAAGTATTTTCACAGATCTGGAAATTAAAAATCCTTGATGAATTTTCCCTGGGGCTAATGCTTCCCTGCCATCAAATCAACAGCCTGGTCTGTCTCTAAGATGAAGAGGGGAAAGAAATCTGCTACTCCAAGTCTGTCGGACACAAAAA